ACAGCAAAGTCATGGTACAAAGAAAACAAGGTATGATCGATAGCGGCTCCAATTTCGTTAAGTTTGCGCATACCACCTGTGACGTCATACGCCATACAAAAAAATATCCATATTGTTCAATTGCCACTAATAAAAAAAGACCTAAAATAGGGAAGAATTAGGACATAACCCCAAAAGTTATGTTTTGTAGAGGTGGGCCAGTCTGCGATTTTTGTGGAGCTGCTACGCTCTGCGACTGCTCCAATAAAAGCACTGTGACAAGTAGCAGCGATTTTTCGGAGCAATTAACCTATAAATTAAAAATGTAGTTTTATAGGTTAATTGCTCCGAAAAATCGCACTCGGTGTTCGGCACCGTTCGTTGCATTTACTAAAAAAGTACAGGACTATAGGTGTGATTATGATAGGCAACATCATCGTCTAGTTTTTATTTATTTATATCGTATGATCGAAAAAACGGCGTCAGCGATAGCTATGAAATGAAGATTGCTGGCATTTTATATGTAAAATTTATGGGGAATGTTATCGATTGTCATTTCCAAGCCAACTGGACGCCGTTTTTTATTTCGATCAGTAGTGGCGATTTTAACGTCTGTGCAATCGGGGTAAGTCACCGACGGGCCCCAAGCCTCCCGGGCCCTTGCGAACAAGATTCGAACTTTTCCGAACTACGGGCCCCTAGAGCTCTTAAAATCGCGGCTGTACGGTACTATACTGATGTCTTAGTTTGATAGATGTTGCTATATTTTTTTAGTCTATTCAGAAGAATTTGAGTGTTTCTAAGTACCAAGCACTTTGCTATAAATATCTTAAAGAGTCTGTTCATTTTCACAGAGTGGTGGCCCATGGTAAAAACTTAATGTTATATTCAATTCAAAGTCGAAACTGTCAAAAAAATCTTTATTAGTGACCGGTTTCGGCTATTTAGCCATCATCAGACCTTAAAAATAGATATAAATAATAAAACTTATATGAATGTATAAGATCAAATAAAAGATTTAGGATATACAACAAAACACAGATACAAAATTAACTAACAAATAAACATACTAACAAGTTAAAAATTACCTTTGTCAAAAACATCTGTTTGTGATTAATATATAATACATAAATATCTTATTTAGATTCATGAAAGAAAAAGCGAACGCTGCTACGTTTCCCGTTCCCAAACTCCCAACAGCTCCAGTACACAGAATATACTCAATATACTATGCTCCAGTCGACTGCGACCTGCGACGACTGTGACTGGAACAGTCTGACCGGGCGACGGGGCTAGGAGCATTTTCAGAATTTACACTATTGCCTGCTATTGCTCCTATTGCTACTCACGAGCGCAGATGTCCTAAACTTGTAAACTGCTCCGAAATGTCACTGCGATTTTCTTGGAAGTGGAGCAGTCACATACTGCGACGTTGGTGGAGCTGTGACAAAGTAGCGGACTGCGATTTCACAACCCACCTCTAATGTTTTGACATCGAGCTTGACATTTGAAAAATTATTTTCACATTTTGACACAATCAAATTTCACAGATGACACAATCTGTTTGACAATTTAAAATTGGCGCGCAGAGCTTGCCGACCAATGGTGCCGTTTATCACCTGTGACGTAGTGACCAACCTGCGCAATATCATACCTTGTATTCTTTGTATCATGCAGCAAAGTCGGCCTGACGATCGAGATAAATCTCCGAAACCGGTCGTCGAATGCATTGCCTGGAAACTTATATGGTGAAATTTTGATAAAATAATTTAGTACTCACTAAAAACACGGTATGTCGCTAGTGGTAGGAAAAATAATTTTTAGAGGTTACTAGTTTATTTGGTTGCCTGTGATATGCATATACAGGGTGTTTTCTAATTAATCTAAAAAATAAAAAATCGTTAGAAAACGGCATAAGGCTCTTAATAAGTATATTTATTTTTTTCTCGGCAACCGTTTGATGAACAAGAAAAACTCAAAATATCAATTTTGTTGAAAAAGGATGGCCCGTCAAGAAAGAAATATATTTTCCTTAAAAAAGCAGTAATGTATCATTTATGTTAAGCAAAATATCGATATTTTTTAATTTTTAACACCCTGTAGATCAGAAAGGAAGTACTTTAGACCTAATGGTTATATAAAAATTGTTTTAAGAACACATGAGGAATCACACCACAATTTTTTAGACTAATTAGAAAACACCCTGTATATTGTCAACTCGACAATGATTGTTGATAAATCAAAAAATACCTTTTCTGTGAAAACCCTTTCTGTGAAAAAATACCCTTTCTGTGTAACTTTAAAACTAAATCCTTTGAAATCAAATATAAACATAAAAAATATTTACAGCAGAAAAGGCGAAGGCGCTGGGTTAAACGTAGTCTCTACTAAGAACACGGAGGGGCGCTTTGACCCAAAATTTTACTATTAAGTTTCATATCTATCTTAATAGAAGATTATTTTCTTTTATCTATGGTCGAATGGCTGTTCCCTTCTGTCTGATGAACTTAATGCAGAAAATAAGCTAGGGATGTCGCAAAAATAAAATAAATCGATATTTTGAATCGATTCAAGATCGGACATAACAAGATCGATCCAGAAAAAAATCGGTAACAAAAGATCGATTTTATTAAATATCGATATTCGATTCTGAATGTATTGGTGTACTGGTATAATAAAAATACGATATAATCATAAAAAAATTAGATACATAAAAATCGTAAAACCGTTCATTAACACATTTAAAATTGAAACTGAATAACAGTCATCCCAAACTGAATCAGAAACATCCACAAACCGAGACATACTTGTAAAAATTAAAAATACTATAACAACGGCTTTTTGCATGCTTATGATGATTTTGACACAGAATATGTACCAGTAAATTCTGTAATTTTGATATCAGTCGGTTGGAAAGAAGCTAAAATCAAAAAATATTCTGTTATCTAAAATATAAAAATATGGGAATCACCGACAAAAATCTGACACCTAATATCAAAGTGGTAAACAGACATCGGCGCATGCGGTAGCGAGCACTTACACTTAATTTTTCATTGCTAGATGGCGGAATTTTGGAGTTGTTATTAGAGATGCACCGGAATCAAATATTCAAGCAAAACTAAAGTGTTTTTTTTATTCTGACAAATAAATAAACCTGTAAAAATGTATAAATAAAATCGATCTTCGATTTTGAAAAAAAATCGATTCTACCATCGTTTGATAAAAATCGATCGATTTTAATCGATATTTTCGGCAAAAAGATCGATCTTCGATTAAAATCGATTCGAATCATGCATCCCTAAAATAAGCATATATGTAGGGTTTTTTGGCCCCTTTCTCTGCTTCTTGTAACGTGGACGAAGCAAGCATGTTTGTCTTAAAATGTGTTACAATACCGACATAGTATAATCCTTTATCTTTAATTTCCTTCTTCATTTGTGTAAAAATACCTAGCCAGTTTTACATAAAACGTTAAATGCCGAACGCTTATTTTGCTACTTTTTCGGACTGGTGAAATGGACTCTACAGTCTTTCTGTCTTTGTTTTTCAGAATAGTATACGGCTCTCTGAATTGCGATTTTTAACTGCGCTTTTTAGGAGACATCTTGTATAAATAATAGATATACCTGGTAAAAAAAACAAGTGCAAATATAGAACAAACGATTTATAAAAGAAGAACAAAATAAACGAGGATGTAAAAATTAAAAAAAATAAGCAGTAAAAATAATGATTAATTGTTTACTAATGACAAATATGGTGTCCAAACATGGCATCTAGCCTATATTTTATGCAAATTGTTTTTTCTTAATGGTTAAACTTATCTTATTTACTATTTCCACAACGTACTACACAATTAGTCATATGATACAGGCCCGGTCCACCCACCATATCGTATTTTATCTACCGGGTGTGTCTTGTTTTTACAACTAACTAAATAATCTAGCTAAACAGTATTATCGTGTATTATTTATTTATTTTTATTAAAATGTATTACCTAATGTCATTTTCAACAACCTAAAATTTCGTTATACTGGAGGTTATTTTTTTTCACTCAGCTCATGCAATGCATGTAATAATCAATTGAATAATGTCGAAATATATTTTAGCCTTAGCCAAGGATTGTTACAAACGGTTTTTGTGGTCAGTCACACAAAGACTTATTATCATAATGCTTTTATTTTTTTTTGTACAGGGTGAGTCTTAAATAAGTGCAAATATTTTTAGGGCTAAAAATATTTGCAAAATAACCGAGTTTGAATTCAAGTTTGGAAATTTAAAAAAAATATTTATTTTTAAAAAATTTTGAGAGCCACCGAATTTTTTCCGTATTTGCATCTTTTCAGTGCCGTAACCATGGCAATATCGGAGATCAACAAATTTTACCGTGGGTAAATTTGCGGTGAACAGGCAGTTCTAAAAAGTTTTCTAAAATACACAGGAAAATTTAAAAGAAAATGTACGATTTTTGCAAAAAAAACCTGAGGTCGAAATATACCACTCCCGAAAATATTTGCATTTACTTAAGACTCACCCTGTATATATTTATGCAATATAGGGTGTCTCTTAGGTGTGTATCAGTATATTAACTGGTGAGTGTTTATTTACCAAAAAATGTTGGAAATTTAATATTGTTTCTTGACATTTATAGAGAAATAAAAAAAACTTTTTAGTACGGCAGGTTCATTCATTTTCCGGACATTTGCTGGTGGTGTATCAAAGCGATGCCATGTTGCCACCCCCTTCTACATTACCCACCTTTTTTGTTATTATCACTTTTAATAGATTTATTTTAAAGAATTTAACTGAGAAAAACATTGAATTCAGTGAACCATGATACATTCTTGTAAAGTGTTAATTATTATATAATATTTCTTTCAACCCACATAGAAAAACCCATGTTATTCTATTAGTTTTTAACCGCAAATTATTAAAGAAAAGAAATCTAGTTTATGATATCTAATAATTTCAAAACTTTCAATAATTCTTCGATTTCTCTAAACCTTTTTTTGTTTTTTTTTCAGTTAAGAGAGTAACAGCAACAATGCTACAGTATGGTGGTTACGCTCCAACTCACACTAGGTACGTACTTTTTTTTTAATAATTTGACTTTTTGATTATCTATGAAGCTCGAACAATACATGCATTAGATAATTGAAATTGAATTTAATTATTTGAATAAATTTACTATAGGAGATCTCAGTGACTTTTTTTTAAATAAAAACGTATTACCTATGTACAATATTTTGAAGGGATGCGACGCGATTAATATTATTTGTCTCAGATGGTATCATTATTATTAGAAATTCCTAATCATAGATTAAAGTCATCATACAATAGATAAAACCTAATTGCTTAATTATATTGTTACTCACAGAGAGAGATCCCAATAACTATACTTATATTTTCAAACATCTACGTTGATTAATAAATAACAAGTCATAAAACAGTCAACCTAACTGTATGTACTAACAGGAATATAAAAAAACTAGGTATTTATGAATAACAAACTAGAGGTAAGTAATGAAACATTTTTTATAATTTCTTGTGGTGACCTAATTGGAAGTAAATAATTAAGATACCACTACACAGAAACTGTACTTGATGACAAAGATAATTATTATTGGAAAAACGGTAATAATTTATTTAAACTTAATAACACTCTGTGTATATCTTTGTTAGAACAATAACTTTAATACCTAAAAGGTATAAGCCAAGAAGACATAGGAATTTTAAACATTTTCAGCTTATTCAACCATTTCCAATTATGGCATATCCTCAATTATCTATACTTCAAACAACAAATTATCTATACTGTAATCGTCCAAACTTACTGGTCTGCATCTGGGACCATAGTTCAATCGTCTTTGTCTCTTTTTCATAACATACTACAATAAAAACAAACATTCAAACCAATCCTTGTATATTTTCTTTAAGTAATCTTACCAATAATCCAGCTAAAATCACCAAACAAACTGCCCCAACCGAAGAAATAGCAATGGCAGCTATCTTGCCTTTATTATCACCATCATCTTTGGTCAAACTTTCTTTTGGAATAGTATTATCCTCATCAACATCTGTACTCGTCACATTGTTAACACTAGGAGTCGTAGTTTCACTTGGGAGAAGATCATGATTAACTATTTTTCTAACAAGAGTTGCTTCGTTATCAGATGGAGTTGAATAGTTCAAACCTGGCCCTAGAGTTTCTGGATATAGAGTTGTATGATTAATTCCTGAGTCTTCTATATGAATAAACTCAAATTCTGTAGTTCCCTGAGATGTTTCTGATACTTCAATAGTGATTTCAGGAGCCTTTACTGGTTCTTCTGTACTACTTATTAGTGTACTGATACATTAGTTGTTTCAAGAACTGTAGTTGTCTCAGTTAATTCTGTAGTAACTTTTACTATAACATTATCTCAGAAAAAGTTGCTCCAAACGTCTTTGTCTCTCCTTCATAACATACTACAATAAAACACACATTCAAAGTATTTCTTGCATATTTCCTTTAAGTAATTTTACCAATAATCCAGTTAAACTCACCAAACATACTGCCCCAACTGAAGAAATAGCAATGGCAGCTATCTTGCCTTTATTGTCACCACCATCTTTGGTCAAACTCTCTGTGGGAATAGTATTATCCTCATCAACATCTGTACTGGTCACGTTGTTAACACTAGGAGTCGTAGTTTCACTTGGTAGAAGATCATGATGAATTATTTTTCTAACAAGAATTGCTAACAAGAAATGCCAAACCAAACCTGGCCCTAGAGTTTCTGGATGTAGAGTTGTATGGTTAGTTCCTGAGTCTTCTATATGAATAAACTAAAATTCCGTAGTTCCCTGAGATGTTTCTGATACTTCAGTAGTGAATTCATTCGTTTCTTGGCTGGTTCTTCTGTACTACTTATTAGTGTAGGTACTGTAACAGTAGTTGTTTCAAGAACTGTAGTTGTTTCAGGTAATTCCGTAGTAACTTTTACTATAACATTATCTCTTATTCTCTCAGAAAAACCTGTACTTTCTATATCCCCTACTGTAGTACTTTTGTACTTATTTTTACCACCTTTGTCGTACTATTTAAGTTTATTTCCCTCGACCTAGTAGCTTGATCAGGTACTAAAGCATTCTCCAGACTTTTCGAGGTCCTTTGTGGGGCTCTGTAGTTACAGACTCCGTAGTACTAACCCCATTTTCCTCACCGGTGATTTCTAAAAAGTCGTCTTTCACAAGTTCTGTGACTAGTTCCTCTGTTGTTGTTTCTGGTAAGGTTGTTGTAAAGAGCACAGTAGTGGTCTTAGATTGTTCCTCCGTGGTACTCGTCAGTAAATTTTCTGTAGTACTTAAGTCATCTTCGACTAATCTAGAGATTATATTGTGCGTTACTTCAGCTATTTTAAAGGTTTCTGATATTTTCAGATATTTCTGATATATTCAGATATTATTCCTAAAAGATCTCAGTTATTCAGACGCCCTGTGAATAACTAAATCTTATTAACCTGTTTGATCTGTATAGAGGCACTTGGATATTGACCTTTCAATAGGCGAGTTTAAATAAGTTTAAATTATGGCAAATACCGATAAAATAACGCGCTGTTTGGCGTGAAAGGTACTGCCGAGGTCATCGGGCACAACAAGGAAAAATGTTCGCCATATAGAATAATAACACTCAGTATAAAAGTCCACACAGGGTCATTTTATTTATAAATTATTTTTTATTCATAATAAAAAACCGGCGAAGCGTTGAGTTATGGTTTTTATTATTTTTTTCTGTGGTTTGGAATGTTCTGTTCAAATTATTACCTATAACTTTTTTATTTCTTCAGACAAAAAGAACGGGAATTGGTATGATATAATTGAATACGTCAATCAATCCTGATTTATGTCATATACATAATACATATATGGAGTGGTCAGAAATTAAAATGGATCAGACCAATTTCCTACTATTTTAAGATGATCGTCTTTATACAATTATAAAATATTGTTTTTTCCAGTAGAAAAACGAATCAAGTACTTCACGCATTGAGCAGCTATTTAGCCTGTTTCATTGATCCAGTTCACTTCTGAATCCCTCATATAAATTTCGTTAATAAAAAAGTTATAGGGTTGAGCCATTTTTGAAATATACCCGGTATATATAGTATCAAAATATTTCTCCGATATTGAAACTTGTTATTCTTCAAATCGTCACATTTTTAACTATTGACAGTATCTATTAAATATGATTTTATATTACAATTTTCCTTATTTTTTTTCAGGAATATTCCTGATCCTATCACAATGGAGTCTCATAGCACAAGGAGTCACTGCTCGTGACTATCACGAAGCAGCCCAATCCACATCAACACCGCCCATCCAAAATGCCACAGAAATCAACAACAGGGACCTGAACAAGATCGCAACCGATAACCCAAAGACTGATCTCCTAGATTCCAAGCTAAAACCTGTAAATAATGTAAATAACCTCGATATCTTCCCCCCGATTTTCGGTAGCATTAAGCCCGATGATGAAACCAGTGACGTCGATGATGATGAAGATGATAGTAAGTCCAAGGAAGACACTAAAGAAGATTTGTTTAAAGAAAAGTTTCCCAAACCGGTAGATATAGACTCTAAGAAATTCTGGGCTCGAAAAAACGTAGTTTATACTGCGCCTCCTTCTTCAGACGTTGAAAAAATACATGAAGATGAAGATGATGCTTTTGAGGGAATTCGCGAGCACTACAACATCGAATTCGCGAAGCACACAAAGCTAACAACACCAAAAAACGAAATTTTTGATCAAAAGTTCAAGGAAACAGTCGAAAGCGTTGATCAGGGTATTGAAGAAGGTTACAGAACAAACAAGGATCGTCAGAATGAGTTTCTTTTGGACGATACAGATGAAGAATCGTCTAAAGTCAATGGTACTAGCAGTAATGAATTCATCCAAACGAAATCCATCATCAAAAACGAAACTATTGATAAAAATTCAATTCACAAAGACCTAGACATCGAACAAATCAAAAGAATCAATTACGACAGCTCCTTCAATGATACGGTCAGCTATAACGAGGAAACCACCAAAGGGGAGACCTATGAACCGTCTAGTACAACCGAAAAAATTTCCGGTACTTCACCCAGACTGATCACAACAAGAAAACCTTCTTTGATGAAGACACAAAGCACTGAGAGGATTAACAATCAAATTTTAAGCAACAAAATCGAGACCGAAACAAGAAAACCTATCAAAGAAAATGGTTCCAGTACTGCTTTACCCGAGAGCACAAAGAAACCTAAAGGAGAACTCGAGAATGCGCAGTCTACTTTAAAAACCGTACGCACAGAACCAACCAGTACCACTGTAAGTAGTACTTCCCTTAGATCAAACGTATCTGATCAAGAAAATCACATAATTCCTGATAGTACTAGTACAAAGAAAGCAATCACTGAAATCTTTTCAGATGAGACATCTTCTATAACCCTGGTAACTACAGATAGTTTATTAGAAGCATCAGAAACAACAGAAAATTCTAAAATAACTGATGTAACGCATAATATAACCTCTAGATTAGTCGAAGATGACGTAAGTACTACAGAAAATTTACTGACTAGTACCACGGAGGAACAGCCTGAGACCACTACTGTGCTCTTTACAACAACCTTGCCAGAAACCACTACAGAGGAACTAGTCACAGAACTTGTGAAAGACGACTTTTTAGAAATCACCAGTGAGGAAGACGAGGTTAGTACGACGGAGCCTGTAACTACAGAGTCGCCACAAAGGACTTCAAAAAGTCTGGAGAACACTTTAGTACCTGATCAAGCGACTAGATCGACGGAAATAAATTTAAATAGTACAACAAAGGTGGTGGAAATAAGTACAGTAAGTACTACAGTGGGGGATATAGAAAGTACAACTTTTTCTGAGAGAATAAGAGATAATGTTATAGTAAAGGTTACTACAGAATTACCTGAGACAACTACAGTTCTTGAAACAACTACTGTTACAGTACCTACACTGATAAGTAGTACAGAAGAACCAGTAAAGACTCCTGAAATCACTACGGAAGTATCAGAAACATCTCAGGGAACCACAGAATTTAAGTTTATTCATATAGAAGATTCAGGAATTAATCATACAACTCTACATCCAGAAACTCTAGGTCCAGGTTTGAACTATTCAACTCCATCTGAAAACGGAGCAACTCTTGTTAGAAAAATAGTTCATCATGATCTTTTACCAAGTGAAACTACGACTCCTGGTATTAACAACGTGACTAGTACAGATGCTGATGAGGATAATACTATTCCAACAGAAAGTTTGACCAAAGATGGTGGTGATAATAAAGGCAAGATAGCTGCCATTGCTATTTCTTCAGTTGGGGCAGTATGTTTGGTGATTTTAGCTGGATTATTGGTAAGATTACTGTAAAAAGTATGCAAGAAATGGTTTGAATGTTTGTTTTTATTGTAGTATGTTATGAAGAAGAGACAAAGACGATTGAACTACGGTCCCAGGTGCAGACCAGTCAGTTTAGACGATTACAGTATAGATAATTTGTCAGTTTACAACAGCATGAGAAGGAAAAATGACAGAATGTCAAAGAGATCTTTTGGAAATCCTGCTTTTGAGGATCCGGTAAGTGTTAAAATGTTTTAATACCTCACAACAGTGTTGCCAACTATTCCCTAATCGTACTACCAAATCAGAGAAAAAATCCTCCTAAAATTCTACTAAATCTCGAAAATTTTTCCAAAATTTAAAAAAATCAATTTTTTTAAATATGAATACTTGAAGAAATAGTTGTCCTGTTGCTTATTGGCTATAGTTTCATTTAAAGTTGCTTTTCAAAAATGGTAGTCCGTACTCCCCTGTAATTTGTTTATTTCTTCAGATAAAAAGACGAGATTTGGTATGTTAGTATAGGACATAAACCAGGATTGATTGACGTTTTCAATTATTTTCGGTCACTTCCTGTTTCACCGGAAATGACTGCAACTTTTGATTGAAAATGATATTCTGAATAGAATTGGCATATCACATGTCAATTTTTGGCGTTTTCTCTTACAAAATGCTTATTTTAAATTTCAATTTAGATTCATCACAATTTGACTCGAAATACCAAGTATGTGGTACCAAATTATTCGTAAAAAATGTTTTTCCAAATACACTAATGAACCAACCTTGTTCCATTTGAAAAAATTGATTTATGACTAAAAATACGATTTGGTCATCTTTTAATTTGTCAGGAAAAACATTACACGATCAAAACTATTTTTCCAAGGCTTCTTTTTTAAAATTTAGTGGTTTTAACATAGCCATGACAAAAGGACTGAATACATTTTGACAATTATCTTTAAAAAGAAGGTTTTCAAATACGTTTTAATATTAAAAAATCCTATTATTTCAGACTTCACCAACACATCCGTTGAATTTCCCAGCTTTGGCAAAATTCTCCACGAATTTTGATGATATCCGAGCTGAGTATGAAGAAATTCCACAGATTACAGCCAAGACTTCGGAACTTCCTGAGGATTGCGACTCCAAAAACCGATACGCCAATGTTATACCATTGCCAGAAACTCGAGTATACTTGAAACATATCGATGGATACGAAAACAGCGACTACATTAATGCAAATTATGTTACAGTAAGTTGAATTTTATTTTTTCCCAATGAAACGAAGAGCACGTTTTTTTATGTATTTTAAGTGGTGTAGTTTTTTCTAGTACACCAGAATTATTTTTAAGAAAAGTGTTTTATTTGGTTTTTTTTCATGTTGTTTAGGGTCCAAAAAACACCAGAGGGTACTACATAGCCACTCAAGGTCCCTTACAAAGTACAGTGGATGATTTTTGGAGGATGGTTTGGGAACAGCAATCAAAAGTCATCCTGATGCTGACCCATTTGGTTGAAAACGGACTTGTAAGAATATAAAACCCTTTATAATCTTTATTTCATCGAAAAATTAACTTCTTTTATAGGAAAAATGCGTGGATTACTTACCAGAATCTGAAGTAATCAACTGCAACAGATCTTTTGGAGATTTCCAGATTGTTTTGAAACGACGAGAAGTTAAAGAAAAATATATCATCTCTAGTTTGCAATTGAAGGTACAAAAAAAAAGAATTAAGAGAAATTTAATAAATACTTGTAAATTGTATGAGATGGGGTATACAAGGTGTCCCAGGCAGAGCGTGCATTAGAAGTTTCTAGAGAACTACAATATCTAGATTAGATGTTTTTTGCACATCATTGTTTCGCAATGAGATCTATCGATCAAAAAGTTCACCGCAACTTCCTTATTTTAAATGAATACAGACATTTTTTATTACATACTTAAATTCTCTGTAAGTCTTTGAGAAAAAATATTTAAAATTTTTGAAAGAAAAAAGCGCCTGTCAAAAAAATTTGTATAGTCTAAACGTCAAATTTAGTGAGTACTACAACCACTGGGACATAAAGAGAAGACATGTGGCTGTTTATTTGAAAAATTAAATTGTTTCAATGTCATATAATATTGGCAGTAGCTGTCACGGAATTACTATTAAACAACTTAAAGATTGTGAGTTATTGTCCATTTACCCGCCTTCAAAGGTTTTGCTTTGATAATATGTACTCACACTGGGTTAGAGAACGTTTAATTACTTATTTCCTTCTGTCAAAAAAGTAATTATTTGAATTTTGTATTTTATATTATATACAGGGTTGTTCACCACATACGACACGGAGTATTGTAGCTAAACGATTAGATTTTTACAAATTGTAAATTTTGGGTTCGTTGAAGGACTATTAGAGCTACAATTTAAAAATATTTTTACAAGATACAGAGTGTCCCAAATAAATAAAAATATCAAAGTTGTATTTTTTAAATGGAACACCCTGTATATTATTGCACTTTTAGTTTCTACGATTAAAATAAAGGTAAATTTGATTAAGGTTTATTACACTTAAACCTTACCGTTTTTGAAATATTTTCAATTTTGCGAAATTGCAGTATAAATTTTAAGGCCTCATTTCTCCGAGGATATCAAAGTTGTTAATACTAAATATTTACTGAAGTTTATTTATTGATCAGTTATTGTGTTGCAATAATAAAATTTAAAAATTTATTTTTTATAATTACTAGCTGTAAACGGCAATAACTTATTTAATTTAAATAGGACACCCTGTATATTTTATGAGAATCAGATGCACAATTTAATTGTCTATCAAATTGTATTATACCAATTCTTACCTATTCCTTCAAGTTTTCGTAGAAAATGCATTTTCTTATAATTTAGACCTCATTTATCAATATACCCATGGAATATTGACATTTTAGATTGGTTTTAAAACAACAAATGTGCAAAATGTATGTACAGGCTAGTAATATTATCGTTTTTAGTAAAACGATGATATTACTAGCTAATTTGTATGCAAAAAGAAAACTATTTAAATCTTTATAAAAGAGCATACCATTAATTAAATATACCACCAGTATTTCCGCCCAAATACTAATTAACTACGTACCTACTTAATTGTGTTCGTTAATGAATTATTTTAAATAAATGTGGATTTGAATCAAAAATCAATATAATAATAAGTTATGAAAATGAACGTCTCTGTTGTTATAAATAACCATTTGTCAAAAAATTAAATATCATTTTTAAGGTGTTACTTTTAACCGCACTGTCTAATACACATACATAATTCAGTTTTCTAGTATTTGGAGCAAATATTATTAATCAACGCAAACAGTCAATTAATGTAGTTTGAATACTGAAATCATATTAATTGGTCCTCTTTAACAAAAAATATTTACACAGCTTTTTTATTTTTTAATGAAATAAACGAACTATATCGACAATATTAGTATCTGTCCTCTTTAAAAATTTGGTACATCTTTAAAAATAATTTAAAATGTCAGTATTCCATGGGTATATTGATAAATGAGTTCTGAATTACAAGAAAATGCATTTTCTACGGAAACTTTAAGAGATAGGTAAAAAATGGCATAATACAATTTGATAGACAATTAAATTGTGCATCTGATTCTCATAAAATATACAGGGTATTCTATGTAAATTAAACAAGTTATTGCCGTTTAAAGCTAGTAATTATTTAAAATAAATTTTTAGACACTCTGTATAAGGTAGTAAAGTTTATATTTTTGCAACACAATAACCGATAAATAAATAAACTTCAGTAAATATTTAGTATTAAAAACTTTGATATCCTCGGAGAAATGAATCCTTAAAATTAATACTGCAATTTCACAAAATTGAAAATATTTCAAAAACGGTAAGGTTTAAGTGTTATAAACCTTAATCAAATTTACCTTTATTTTAATTGTAGAAACTAAAAATGTAATAATATATAGGGTGTTCCATTTAAAAAAATACAACTTTGATATTTTTTATTTATTTGTCTCTGTATCTTGTAAAAATATTTTTAAATTGTAGCTCTAATAGTCCTTCAACGGACCTAAAACTTACAATTTGTAAAAATCTAATCGTTTAGCTACAATATTCCGTGTCGTATGTGGTGAACTACCCTGTATATATTATATATTGTATTGTTTGTTTGTTGTTTGTCTGTTTAATTGAATGATTTTTTTCTCTTTTTAGAACATGGTATCGAATAGCTGGAGAGAAATCACTCACTTTTGGTACCTCGGTTGGCCAGAAAAAGGAGTACCTAGCGAAGCTAACTCTCTGATAGCTTTCCTTATTGAAGCTAGAAGCTATATGAAAACTACCACACTAGATCATGTGAGTATATCCATTAATATTACATTTCTACAACTTTGACAGACAACATCCAAAAAAATGACAGAGAATAAAGGAAAACATCTACTGTCACTGTCCTAACTTCTTTCTTTGGACATATGGAGTGGTCAGAATTAAAATGCATCAAGTCTTACTATTTTTTTCCTACTATTTTAAGATAATCATCTTTATACGTTTATAAAATATTGTTTTTTCCAGTAGAGAATTGAATCATGTCATACTTCACGCAAGCCTGTTTCTGTTTGGTTTCTGAATATTCTGTTGATTCCTTTCTGAATACTTTAAGTAACTATTAAAAAACTTCCATAATTATCTTCTAGGACTTGATGCAGTTCACTTCTGAACCTTTCATATTATGGATGAACTCTAAAAAAAAATAACTAGATATGTGAAGACGACTAGATTATTTTTTTGTATTTTTCAGAGAAATGGCGATACAGGTGTTCACAATGGCATGGGAAACAGTGAACACAACCCTGTAGTGGTTCATTGTAGCCCTGGAACGGGTCGTACAGGTATATTTTACTTATTCAATTTTAATTTTCACGATTTAAATGTCTGAATTTTGTGCAGGAGTTGCTATTGCCTGTGACATAGCCATCAGGGAGTTTGAAAGTACCAGAATGGTGGATATACCGAAGATAGTGTACCGGATACGCCGTGATAGAGCTGGGGCAGTGCAATCGAAAGAACAGTACCAGTTTATATACAAGGTAAAACAGATTTTTAACATTTGACACAGACAGCAGTTTTTTACTGATTTTCTGGATGGTTTACTTTTTGATTCACTATTTTTACTATCAGATTTACTCTTTTTTATGTCTGTTTTACTGTGTTTAGTTTTAGCACAGAATATCTAGCTACGCAACAGAAAAATACTCGAAATGAAAGAGCTAAAATTGCACAAATAGAATACTAGATGGCGCGACAATATCATAATCAGAATATAATTAGAAATTTTGAACTTTCGGTTTTGGAACGACGGCTCGTCGACGGCCTTATAGCTCGGCTAAATATGCACAGTTGCCAGATTCAAAAAGACTTGAATTGGCATCCCATTCTTTTTATTGTGTATAATGCAGTATGTGTTTCTTTCTATTCTTCTTTTCTTGTCAGATACACTTATATTAATTATTCCTTTGGCTATTAAAATAACTTTAAGTATATTATTACAAAACATATACATTTTTAATATACACTACCTTATAATGTTAACTAAGAAAATACATTTAATTACCTTTAAAATTAATAATATACAGGGCGATTGATAGTGATATTTATTAATGCTGGAACTTTAGTAATGAAATATAAGTTTAATAATAATGGAAATAATTTATTAAAATGCAGTACAAAAAATGTTAACTGACTAAAAAATACTATAATAACAAATTTCTTCCGTTTGCCACGTTATTTATATAGACCTAGGTAGATTTTAAAAAGTGACACAGGTACAATTAATAATATATTAGTTCGGCATAAAAGTTGCTGTCACGACATCGAACAATAAATTAAAATTCGTAAAATAAATTAAAAATATTAATTAAACAAATCTTTATAAAGAAACGCAAGTATACCAAATTTGGGCCCAATCGAACTCCAGGAAATGATATCATAATAGTTATATGTATGGTACCATAATATAACTATATTATGGTACCACTCGATATACTTTAAGGTACCATAATATTGCAATGTCACCGAAGATCCGTAGTATACCAAATTTAAGAACAATCGAACGCCAGGAAATGGTATCGTAATATGGTACTATATTAAGGTACCACTTTATATGCATCATAGTACTATCATATTACAATGTCACCGAAAATACGTAGTATCCCAAGTTTAAGCCCAAATCGAACGCCATGTACGTAATATAGTACTATATTATGGTACCAGTTGATATGCTTCATGGTACCATAATAATGCATTGTCATCAAAAATACGCAAGTATATATCAAATATGAGCTTAATCGAACGCCAGGAAATGGTATTGAAATATGGTACTATATTAAGGTACCACTTTATATGCATCATAGTACCATCATATTACAATGTAACCGAAGATACGTAGTATAACAAATTTAAGTCCAATCGAACGCCAGGAAATGGTATCGTAATATAGTACTATATTATGGTACCTCTTATTATGCTCCTTGGTACCATAATATTACAATATCACCGAAGGTACGTAGTATTCCAAATTTAAGCCCAATCGAACGCCATGTATCGTAATATAGTACTATATTATGGTATCACTTGATATGCTTCTGAAAAAAACGGCGTCCAGTTGGCTGGAAAAGGACGATCGATGACATTTCCCATATAAATTTACATATAAAATGATAGTGATATTCATTTCATAGCTATCGCTAACGCCGTTTTTTCCCGATTATACAATATGAACTTGGTATGAACACAATCGAACGTCAGGAAGTGGTATCATAATACATACATATACAGTAGAACAATACTTATTATATTGTCGCCGAATTACAATGAAAATTCAGGATTCAATTATACAATCAAACGTCAAGAAGTGATTGTAATTTAGCTCATAAGATTTAATTCCAACTAACATGGCAAACTGAAAAAAACAGCTCTGATCTATTTTAATATGTTTAAATGATGTAGCAAATTTGAAGGTTATATATATATATATATATTATATTATTATATATATTACGATATGAATTACACAATGGCAACACTGCACAAAATTCTTTTAAATTTTGTTTGTAGAAAACTGTTTTCTTTTAAATTTATTGCCCTCTATTATGTAGTAGCGAAACTACCACATCAAAATATCTGATTTGGAGACAGACTTTTAAAGCCTGTCTCCTTTTGCTACCAACAATTTTATACATGTAACGAGGCTTCTGTTGCGTAGCTAGATATTCTGTGGTTTTAGTAAGTTCCCATACACGTACCGATATGCATGCACAAACCAGGTTTGCATAGGCGGTCTGTGCGAAAAAACTGAGCGTCTGTGGGGGCCTTTAGATAGTTATTGTTCTATTAAATAATATTTTATCTGTTTTTTTTTTCTAGGTGGTGAGTCTCTATGCAACAAAACTGACAGGAGGAGCCCTAGAAAACTTTTAATACTCTTTTTTGTGTTACTACTCATTACTTTAGTTGTACTATAGTACTACGAACTACATACTTAGGTACTGTTTATTTGTGTGATTAAATGTCAAAGGCAACTACTGTGAAGGATTTTTGCGCACAAATTCTATATATTTTTTCTATTCTTTATAGTTTTCGATGTTGTATAAATGATTCGTTATTTTTTGTGATATATATATCTTTGTTTTTTATTGTGCATATTTAGTTGTAACAATATTTCTTTCTACAAAGTTTATTTTATAGAAAAAAAGCAGTGATGTAAGGCTTAGTTGTAAATAAGAGTAAATAAAATCATTTTATTTTTGATTTGTATGTATTTTTTATTTCATATGTTAATGTCTTTTTAAGCAGTACTGATTTTTTAAGACATATGTATGAAAACAAGCCCATGTATTGATTTTTCAACTTTTTGCACGTTCTTAGGGGTCAATTACGCTGTATATATTATTTATATTTCAGAAATCTGCCTAACGCTTAACCCGACCCTGTCGTGTTAGTTAATCGTTTATTTTTTTGGTTTTGTAAGAAAATGGATTATTTTAACTCTTGTTTATCATTAAAACTTTATCTACATCTAAAATCGTACTAAGCCTTTCAATTTACAAATTACAGTTATTTAAATACGATATATTTTTGTACTTTGCGTAAAATAGGGGAGGATATATAGGGTTTTTTCTCTATGTTTACGTATTTCTCTGATATTCTTTGATAATTAAAAACAATACTGCCCTCTATAGGGTAAAATACAATCTGATTCGCGCTGTGTTTTAGTTTATTAACGTTAGATGTCACTCCTACAAATATTTTGCCCTCTATATTTAAAACACCACACTAATCGCCCAATAGTTCAATTGATAGAGTATAGAGGTCGCTAGTAGCGCCGTATATCGACGCGGGAATTCGTATTTCAGGCTGAAAACTGTTGAAAACGCGTTTGTCCTTTCAATAATCACCGAAAAATCTGTTTGATCCGGATCGATCAGATTTGAAGCACTTTGTTTCCACTGGCGATGGCTTGTTTTGTTTTCACCATATTTTAATTAACGTCTCAACGTTATAATTAATTCCAATTTAATTTATTTGTGTGCCATGTTTAGCGTTCCTGCTATTTGTCAGAAGCGTTTCGCATATTGTTCGCAGTGCCGTAGCTGAAAAAAGGAAAATTTGGGTTTTATGAGATCGAAAAAAAAGCTTAAAAATAGAAAATTATCTACCTATAGTTCATATCTTTGAATAAGAAGACTAAGGAAGGAGCATATCAAAAATCTAAGGTCCACCGCGATGGGACTCAAGTATGGCCGACTTAAATTCCGGTTTATCAGTGCCGTTCTAATTTTATTTAAAAAATGTAAAACTATGATGTAGGGTAGACGTGGGGTAACCTTTTAATTTAAGGTTTTTTCTTAGGGAACCACACTTCACTTCTTCACAACCCATACTCCTATCCCTGTACCCCGCACTAATTTGTGCAGGTCCTTGATAGGATAGGAGCATAGTTCCTCCAGTTCTAGCTTTGCCTTTTCAAATGCTTCCTTGTTTGTTTCTCCAGTGGGCATTCTGTTTTCCCCTGATCCAGAGTTTTGCTGTACTGCGTGATACATTTGGGTATTCCCATTATTTTAATTACGATTTTCACAACTTCTGACCTTCCAGATGGTCATGCTATATAATGTTACCTAATTTGTTTAACTAACACCTGTCTGAAAGATATTGAAACGGAAGTATTGTTTATAACATATGTTTGTCAAAATTATTAGAGATTCATCAACAAAATTTATTAGATCTTTTTTAACAAATACTAAAAATACATAATAAACAGTTAATTGATCTTGAAATTATTCTGTTCACACATATTATACAGTAGCTACTTCTCGATATTCGCGTCATTAATACATAATCTAAATAAATAAATGAAAGTCCATTAGTTACACTATTTATAACTATAACTACTTTTCCGATAATTTTAGTGATTAATACTAAAGAAAAGCTGTTAATTTTCATCTGTATAATTAAAGAAAGGAATGTATTTAAGGGATGCCACGTTGTCAGATGTCGCGTTTAATCCATACGTTATAGAATAATTGATGTGGTTAGCGTGTCTGATACTCCCTTGTTAGTAAAAACAAAGGGCAAACAATAACAAGGTGTCGAGAATGTAATTTGATAGGGAAAGATAAATGGACTCTCCTTTGTTTGATACACCACACACTTTTCGATATTGGCAATATTAAAATTATATTGAAGGGTGGTAGCATTTTCTTTTTTTTTTCCTTTTTTTTGTGATCGTTTTAACATACAGACACTTTTTGTTATAAAATTATTTTTACAGAGTGTAATTGATAAACTTGAGAAGAATAAAATTATTGTATTGAATGACGTTGTCACGATTTTGTCTCTTTTTTTCTCTTAATATACAGGGTGGTCCGAACTGTATCCCGAAAATTTGGGCAGAATATTCTGCAGATAAAAATAAGGTAAAAAGTTCGTATATATCCAAAAACGCTTAGTTTCGGAGATACAGAGTGTAGAAATTTTATTTATATTTCGATTTTTTGTTGATGTTAATATCACTCCTACTTGTAGAGGGTGCCACCTACATATTTTTTAACTGGTTTGAAGAGTAATCACTTTTCGTCCGTATCTGTATAAAACAACTGAGTAAAAAAATATACATTTACGACGCTTTTTACCGTAAAAAAAAAATCTAGGTAAAAATCGCTACGAGTAATGGTTCTCGAGATATTTGGAATCAAAATTATCATTGTCCTAATTGACATAAATTAAACATGTTGACTGAATGGTTATTTGACTGAAATCATAAATTTGAAATGTTTTTGTGCCAAAAGTTAAACAGAAACTTTTTTATCTTCATTTTTTCAAAGAAAAAATTATGAATAATTTTAAAAAAAAGAAAAAGTTCCTAAATATATCATATCAAATCAGATAACTATTACGCGCCATTAAAAAATGCAGAAGAGTACGTGTCCTGCAAATGACTTTTTTCAATCATTATTAAAATTCATTATTACATATATAACATAGGATATAGTCTATAAAATGAATAACTTTGAATTTTGAACGTTATTTTTTACCAACATGGTAAATATAAAATCCCTCTATCCAAAAAGTTACTGATATTCTTTAAAATGAGTGCCGGAACGAATCAGATAGGTAACTCTTTTTACTTTCGTGAAATTGAAAAGGAAAATAACAAAACAAGTGACAGTTCTTCCTCTTCTTGCAAAAATCAATGCGAAATTTATGCGAAATGTCATAATTGACAAAAGTAAAATGTCATCAGCCTTTGACATTTCTAAATATCAGTCCAATGCCGTCTCTAATAGAACAGCCTCGGAGCGAGATTTATGACGTCGCGCTAGTTAGATACCACGGATTAATAAATATGTTGTAGAATACATGGAAAACATAATTATTCCTCGTATTTTTGGTTTGTATTTTAAAACTGATATAGTTTACATGAAATATACATAATATACAGTTAATAAATACAATATATATATATATATATATATATATATATATATATATATATATATATATATATATATATATATATATATATATATATATATACCTATTTATAGTAAAAATACTTTGGCAAATAAACTATGAACCATACAAATGCAGCAAATATTTTACAATATACCTACAAATAATGAATAGGTAGATAAGATAATGGGTAAAATGTAAAAAATATTTTAGATTTTGGGGTTTGAAAATCGATCTAATTTAATAAAAAACATTCAATATCTACTAATTGTGATGTATTATTATTTGCATTCACAAAATTTATATGTATATTTTGCAAGCATTAATGTTCGAAAAATTATATTTGCAAATAATACAATATCATAGAAAAAAGGCGTCAGCGATGGCTATGAAATAAAGATCGCTGTCATTTTATATGTAAAATTATTCTAAAATTTTTGATTTTCTTGGGATTTAGGTTCGGGAAAAGCACTGATTAAATTTTCATTTGGTTTTTCATTATTTTTTTTTGGTTTAAAAAAAACGTTATAGCCTAAAATATATAAAATAAATAAAAAAATAAACGTTTATAGCCTTCATCAGTGTTGTGTCATATGAAAAAAATAGTGTCGAATATAATCCAAAAAATTACATATACGAGGAATAATAATTATGTTTTCCATGTATTCTACAACATAATTAATCCGTAGTATCTAACTAGGGTGACGTCATACATCTCGCTCAGAGGCTGTTCTATTAGAGACGGCATTGCATCAGCATGGCCGCAAGTTGCTAACCTAATAAAATTTACACTAGAAAGTCCCGCGGGAACTGTCAAACTCAAAGTTATTCGTTTCACAGACTATACAACATTTTAATGAACAGTGCTTTCCATAAAATCAATAAAATGAAAAATATAGGAAATAATATACATGTACTGATTTCTTTCGAAAATCGACAACTATGAAACTATGAACCCTTCCCGGACACAAACGGTACATTGTGAGACAGGAAATTGTAGAGAGAAACAAGCCCTATAACATAGGATACAACATTTTAATGAACAGTGCTTTCCATAAAATCAATATAATGAATAATTCATTATATTGATTGAAATCTAACCTAACCAAAATTGTCATTGATTGTCATTCCCCAGCCATCTTTGACGCCGTTTTATTTTTCGATCGTATGGTACTTAGTGTACAAAAAAAGCGAATCTTTCTCAAACAATGTATACAATTTGAAACAGAGACAAATTAAATGTCAATTAAAATAATTCCAGTTGCAATTGCTATGATTAAATAATTTTATCTGTTATCTTATGTAATTAAATAAAACAATTATTGTGACAATCCTCGGTAATTTCGCTGGAAACGCCGAACTAAAAAAGTAAAAATCGTTTTTTTATTATTATTAGATATTATTATTATTTTTTTTCTTTGTAACATGGCATTGTTTCATATTGTATTTTCAATTTTTTTCAACATAGGTATAAAAAATCTATTTATCTATTATAATATAGAGAGTGTCTTAAATAAAATAAATAAAAGCTGGTATTTTAAGAGATGGTAGACCTGGACAAAAGGATCATATTTTTTTATTTCCTGAGAACTTTGAAAATTTATAAAAATAATTTTTATCATTTTGAGAACCGCCGGTATTAATAATCTGCAGATTCTCAGCTTATTCGACCAATGCCGTCTCTAATAGAACAGCCTTAGGGCGAGATTTATGACGTCACGCTAGTTAGATACTACGGATTAATAAATATGTTGTAGAATACATGGAAAACATAATTATTCCTCAGATTTTGAGTTTGTATTTTAAAAACGATATAGTTTACATGAAATATACATAATATACAGTTAATAACTACAACATATATACCTATTTATAGTAATAAATACTTTGGCAAATAAACTATGAACCATACAAATGCAGCAAATGTTTTACAATATACAAATAATGTATAGGTTCATAAGATATTGGGTAAAATGTAAATATATTTTAAATTTTGGGGTATGAAAATCGATCTAATTTAGCAAAAAACATTCAATATCCACTAATAGAGATGTATTATTATTTGCATTCACAAGATTTATATGTATATTTTGCAAGTATCAATGTTCGAAAAATTATATTTACAAATAATACAATATCATCGAACAAAGGCGTCAGCAATGGCTATGAAATGAAAATCGCTGGCATTTTATATGTAAAATTATTCTAAAATTTTTGATTTTCCTGCGATTTTTAGGTTCGGGAAAAACGCTTATTTAAGTTTTCATTTGGGTTTTCATTATTTTTATTTGGTTTAAAAAAAACGTTTCGGCTAACTGTAGCCTTCGTCAGTGTCGTGTCATATGAAAAAAATAGTGTCAAATATAATCCAAAAAATTACATATAATATATTCACACCACATAATGTTTACTGCAATTAATAAACTAATATAAACTTATCAAAAGATGACCACATATTTTTTAAAATTATTATTCTTAACACTAAAATTATCTACATTGACTATGGAGTACGCAGTAAACATTATGTGGTGCGTGGTGTGAATATTTTATATGTAATTTTTTGGATTATATTCGACACTATTTTTTTCATATGACACAACACTGATGAAGGCTATAATGTTAGCCAAAACGTTTTTTTTAAACCAAATAAAAATAATGAAAAACCAAATGAAAACTTAATCAGCGTTTTTCCCGAACCTAAATCCCAAGAAAATCAAAAAATTTAGAATATTTAGAAACAAGGTTCAAGATACCCATAGAGAACATCGTAGGAAACTCGCCCTGTATATGTGTATACAGGGTGTCCTAGAAATAAGTGCAAATATTTTAATGGGTGGTAGATCTCGATAAAAGAAACATATTTTCTCTTTATCGTTTTTCAAATAAGTCCAAAATAACGGAGTTATTTTACTTTGAAAATTTCCAAAGAAAATGATTTTTTGCTAAAATTTTGAGAACCACTGGACCTTTTCTGGATTTTCTTTCTTGTAAATTTAATCTACTACCTATGTTGCCATATTATCAAGAAATTATTTGTTTAAATAAAAACTAAAAAAATTCCAAAATTTTTTTTTAAAAAAGTCCGAATTTTCAAATAAAAATTTTCGCGAAAAAAACCTAATAGGCGTGTTTCTGGGGTTGAACTATACTACCAGTTAAAATATTTGCACTTATTTCTGGGACACCCTGTATAAACGTAACATATTATTACTAATAAGTCAAATAAAAATGCAGTGAATTTCTAAAAGGTGCAATTTGTTTCTATGCCTGTAAAAAAAGTTTTTTAATAAAACAAATCCATACGATCGAAAAAAAATCGGCGTCATAGACAGCTGGTGAATGACAATAGATTCTTTTTTATTACTGACTGTCATTTCCTACTTTGACGCTGTTTTTTTTTCGATCATACGGTCTGAATTCTGTACGGGCAAATATATGTCAAAATTGTTGATCTAATCAACGATTAAAAATGAAGAATGTAGCTATTAGGTGTAAAGGAATATAAACTTGCATGTTTTTCCAACTGCTTTAAGTTTGTTATCTCGGAAAATACTTCGTTTTTGAAAATACTATTGTTTGTATGTCTATCAGCGATTGGAAAGTACAATATATCGATTGTGTTTTAATTGTACGGCACGTAAAATGATAAAACACTTTGTTATCAAAAGTAAATGCTTTTAGTTATAATAAATGCATTTATAGATAAAAAAAAATAATTTTTCAAATTGTTTAACGTGTTTTTTAGGTTTGTACAGGGCGTCCCATTTTAGTTGAAATCATACGAAATCTCCGTTATTAGTAAAGATAGGAGGATGCGGTTTGCACAAACCTGTCCCATTTTTTTGTCAAACGGAAGATGCTGTAAACAAAATTTTCATAGCCCTCTTCATTATTACGGATGATATCAAGAAGGTGAAAACTGATTCTTGTACAACTTTTTACATAGAATACAGTGACGTAGTCTGTTTTTCTACGAAAAATGTTTTTTTAAAAATATGTATAAATTAAAGTTATGTTTTTTCAAATAGAACACCCTGTATATTATTAAATCATATGATCCGTCTTGCTATGAGCTTCCCAAAAATATATATCACTCTACAGGGTGTTATTGAAAAGGTGTAAAAAAATTCAGGGGGTGATAGTACTCCTAAAAATCAAAATGGCATTTACTAAAATAGTCATACACATCCTAAAAATTTATTTGGAATTGATATATTTTACTTTTGAACTGTTGCCACTGAATCTCTGAATATATTTATCTTTTTTTATAACGGAATTTATTATAAAGGGATGGGGTTTGCAAATATCTAAAAGCTTGGATTATTAAAGCGTTTTCCAGGTGTTTGACATTGTTGTAGTTGCCACGACATATTTCATATTTCAAAAATTCCCAAAATCTGAAATCGAAAACGGACAAATCCGGGAAACAGGGAGGCCATCATATAGCACCATTGGTTCCAATTCATTGATTTGAGAAATAATAATTTAACAAAATGCTAACATTTTCAAGAAAAAAAATCCAGAAAAGATCCAGTGGTTCTCAAAATTTTAGCAAAAAATCATTTTTTTTTCGAAATAACTTATTTGAAACACGATAAAGAGAAAATATGTTTCTTTTGTCGAGATCTACCAATTCTTAAAACACTAGCACTTATTTCGGGGACACCCTGTATATCTGTGAAGTGAAGAGAGCTTTAAACTGAAATAAATACGCCTTTTCAGTGTTTTATTTTTGCATTTGCACCAATAAGATGAGACATTAAGTGTAGCGATTGATGTTTCTTGAAAGTTAGCAGATTGTAAGAAGCCTGTTTGGTTTCTGGTATATACCAGTTCATACCACTACTGATTCGTGTTCCAATAATCTATAAATTTGGTACGATTTGGTACTATTCTATGAAAGTTTTTGTTCTGAGTCACTGAAATCAGTCTTCTATACTATATTTTATTTGGATTTAAACTTTGTCCTTCGCAAATAAAGGTTCTTAACTATCGTAGGTATATCTTATCAACAAGAATAACACATATAGTTGCACCATTTTTGATGAAACTGTGTCAAGGAAGACCTCTTAAATTATTTACTTGGATCATTTTGAAAAAAATACCTATGTATAATAAAGTATAAGGTGAAAAAATATTTTACAATGTTGGAATTAATTAATGATGTTCTGATGCTTATTGTTGAATATTAAGTGGTGAATCAGAATGTTGGATATAAAAATGAAAATATACAGGGTGAAAAATATGTAAGATAGACAGGGAACTTTATTTTTGAATCTAAAAAGATGCTAAAAAGTTAAATAATTTAGCTACACGTTGCTGAAAGTCATCAAAATGGGTCTTTTGAAACATGAAACAAAAAAATATTAATAAATGTCTAAAAATATCCAAACTATACTTTTTGCATGCAGAATTTAATATTCTATCGGAATATGTCTTATTATACAGGGTGTCCTAGAAATAAGTGCAAGTATTTTAATTGGTAATATAGTTCAACCCCAGAAACACGCCTATGAGGTTTTTCTCGCAAAAAAAAATCGAAAATTCGAATTTTTTTAAAAAAAAATTTTGGATTTTTTTTTAGTTTTCAGTTAAAAACCATAATTTTTTGATAATATGGCAACATAGGTATTAGATTAAATATACAAGAAAGAAAGTCCAGAAATGATCCAGTGGTTCCCAAAATTTTAGCAAAAAATAATTTTTTTTCGAAATTTTTAAAGGACTTATTTGAAAAACGATAAAGAGAAAATATAATATGTTGCCCCTTAAAATATTTGCACTTATTTCTGGGACACCCTGTATAGTCTAAGATCCGGCTGCAGGATTATTACGTTCATCATATTTTCAATCAAAACCTCATTTTTACGTATATTTATGAATAGGGGTCCAATCAAAAAGTTGCCGCAAATAGGGGTTGCCATGTTGCTCAAAGTTGTTCCTACTACTTTATACGGGTCCGGCAACAATGCATCGGGCATCTGTAGCTTGTATTATTAAAAAACTTAGGAATTTTGGATAAGTACAAAACTAAAGTATGTATTTCAGAAAAATATTTTAATTTCTACAGAGTGGCTCAAAAAGTGTGAGTGGGACGTGATGATTTTTTTTAAATGGAACACCCTGTATATTATTTTATTTTGGGCTTCCTTTCTGATCACATTGTATAATCCTAAGATATTATTAAATATGTTTTGATAGTTTCAGAAATATTAATAAAAAAATAGAAGAAATATTTTTTCAGCCGTTTAAAAAAACATATTAAAAATACAAAAAATGTCCTGAAATCAAAACTATACTAGGGGTTTACTGTAGTTGATACTTTGCTATAAATATCGTAATCCTAAACTATACAGGGTGTTCAATATTCTATGCCTAACTTTCTAAAATATAAAATAGTTTTTCGTCGGTTTTTTTTTTAAATGGAACACCCTGTTATTATTTCTTTCTTAAATGGAAAAAAATGAACATTTTTTGTATTTAAAGACTGAAAATGTCCCAGACAAAAAAAACACCCAGCCAGGACACCAACTCGAACAATTCCCTCGAAGAATTAAGCAAAAAACTAGAAAAATTATCAATGCTGATTAAACAGAAATAAATTATGACACTCCAGATGTTAATCGGAGTAATTAAGAACGGTAAAATCCAGAAAATCTCTATCCAGTTCTGCTTAGAACCCACCGAACCATCTCTTTTCCCAGTCACCATCTTGAAAATCGCCCGGAACGCCAGTTTTTCCGGTATATAGCGCGCCAAAACGCCGCCAACGCTCATTTGTTTCCATAATCGGACGCGATTCGCACTTGTTAGCACAGCCTACTCGACAAAGTGGTGTTTTCGGCCGAAAAAATGACAGAAAATCGATTCAAAATCGAAAAAACCTACGACAACGCGGCTTTCCAAATCGGCCACGACGATGACACGAGTAGGAACAACCAAAAAAACAGAGTTAGCATCGATTTTAGTGAGAAAAAACGGCGGAAAAGTATAGTGCACATCACGAAAGAAGTGTTGCCCAGGTTGGAGAATTACAGGAATTCTAGGAGGGCTGTCAAAAGGCCGTCACTGGGTGAATTGCACGGGACTGAGGAGTATGCTAAGGTAAGATAGTGTTTTTAGGGTGTTTTTTTGTTAAATTTAAAGAAAAAAAGTAATTTAAATAAATTGTAGACTGTTGATATGCGTCGAGTGGTGTTCTTATCAACAGGATTTAAAAGGTTTTTAAGTAGTTTGCATAGGAACTTACAGAATGTGGGATAAACATTTCAAATAAACAATATTATTTTTTTTTATTTTTAATTAATTAATATAAGCTTATATCGTCCTGATGTTACGCTAACTTGTGACCATTATGGAATTAAGATACTATAATTTCTCGGCTAACAACTATGAAATACAATAAAGTTTTTAAGTAACAATATAAAATGAAAATGGACACTCATCTAACTGCTTTAATAATTTATTTACTCATTATTAATGTCACATATAATAAATTTGCAAGAGAACAATTTTATCGATAAATATTTTTCTGTTCCAGCCACTGAAGGGATTTTTTATACAGGGTGAGTCTTAAATTAGTGCAAATATTTTCAGGGCTGGTAGATCTCGATAAAAGAAACATATTTTCTCTTTACCATTTTTCAGATAAACCCAAAATAACCGAGTTATTTAAGTTTGAAAATTAAAAAAAAATTTTTTTGAAAAAAATTTGAGATCCATTAAAAATTTTTTCTGTATTTGCATTTTTTTTATTGCCGTTACCATAGAGTAAAGCCGTAACTATGGTAATATCAGAGATTAAGAAATTATACCGTGGTCAAAGACTAGATACGACAAGAGACGACAGTGAACAAAGAAGTCGTATTTCGCGAGAGAGACGCAGATATATTAAAATTTAAAGGTCCCATCAAGTCCCATTTTGTCTGTTGCCAAGTATATTTCTTTGAAAAATAAACAAGATTTTCTGAAAATAAATTAATAATATAAGAAGGATATAAGTAACGTATGTTAATACGGAAATGTAAATTTTTAGTTTAGGTTGGTTTAGGTTCTTTTTTCGCAATGTACTGATAATATCAAAGAAACAGAATGACTAAGTTGATCGATTTCAAAGATAAACAGATAAAATCTCAAAATCTGACAACGGCGTATTTTATCTAATCTAACCTATGATTTTAGGATGCTAATCAGCTGTGCTAATCAGGCCTAAACATAAACAAAACTGATTAGTTGTTTTCTTACATTTTTGCCTTTTTAAAGTGTGTTTTCAGAGTTTTTCGATATATTATCGTTTTGAGAGTTTTTAAGGTTTAATTTTAGTATCGTTTTTGTTGCGTACTAATTTGTAAATGTTGTTAAATATGAATACTGAACAGGACACGAGTAGAGCAGGAAAAGACGAGATGGTGGCAATGTGTGTGCTTATAAAGACTGCAAAAATAGGTCTTATTCTTCGACAAACATATAATATTTCATTCTTTTCCAAAGGATCCTGAAAAGTATTTTTATAGAAATATACTATATAATTATGTTATTAAACTAAATGTAATCCATAGATCGAAGACATGTTTAGAAGCTTGTAATATATTTTTACAAAAAAAATTGAGCAACTCTATTTTTTTGTACATAAACTCCACATTGTGATTTTACACTTGTTCAAGTCCATATGTAAAAAAATACACGTAGGTAAATAAAACATTTCTTACAAATCGACTTGGTCACTTTATCTTGTTTACCAACGATATACAAAATATTACTTCTATTATCTTTATTCCCCGACAAATATGTTTCTAATTATAATTTATTTTATATAATATTTAGAAAACTCTTTTTTTTTCGTTTCTATTTATTTCTTTACCCATACAGTAACTATTTATAAGCTATACAGGCAAGTTTTAATAATAGTCGATTTCAAATTTCCCGCGAAAAAATTACGAAAATTTAAAGGGACAAGCGAGACGAGGTCACACTCCCCACCACTCAAACATGAAAGGTACCGCGCGAACTGTCGTCTCTTGTCTTATCTACTCTTTGCCGTGGTGTAAAATTTGCGGTGAACAGGCAGTTCTAAAATATATATATATATATATATATATATATATATATATATATATATATATATATATATATATATATATATATATATATATATATATATATATATATATATATATATATATATATATATATATTATAAAAGACTCACCCTGTATTTAAAAACAACCGTCAATTTATAAACAGACCATTTAATACAATATTAACCTGGTAACAAACAAATACGATTCTTAGACGAAACAAATTAGATTTTCAAACGTGACGTTGTAGGGTCCAGTTTCTTTGTATCCCTTACCGTTTCTGAGATCACCATTATCTTTATTATTATTTTGGACACACTGTATAGTGCTAGAAATAATATGCCGTTTTTCAAAAAGTATTCATTAAAATCTATTTTAAAATTCATTTTAATGATTATAATATTGGTAACTTCATGATAGTACAGTGCGTCTGTCCGTTCTGTAGCTACGGGGTATCCGTGAGAGGGGAAACGATATTCTCTCGATGTTTTTCGTAAAAAAATAGACGACGCGTCCCATCAATAAAAATTCGACAAATTTGCAAGTAGCCAATAAAATGAGTGGGCGGAGCGATTTGCGGTGACGCACTCGTCAAATCGACGTATAAAATATATTGCTGTTTATTTAAATGTTTTTTGTCCACATTCCTTTCATAGACAGAGATCCAGCAGATGAACTGTAATAGGTATGGTAGGTTATTAAGATCGGCAAAAAAAGTTTTTTTAATTTCACCCAAAATGAGTTATTTGGATCATAAATAACCTAAATACAAAATATTTTCATGGTGTCTGTCCGTCTGTCCGTCTGTAACACGATAACTCAAAAACCCCTAAACCGATTTTAACCAAATTTGGCACAAAAATACTGTGGCACCCGAGAATCTGGCCGTTAGTTTTTGGTGGGGGTGGGGGGTTGGTAAGGGGGTATGGGAGGGGGTTAAAAATTTAAAAAAATCGTAACTCCAAAATTACAGTAGCTAGCGAAACGCGGTTTTCAATTTAAGATTAGGAATAAAATTTGCAACAAAATTTGTAATAACATCAAAATCAGTCAGAGTCGCAGTTTTTGAGATATTCCGTGTTTCCGTGGTCCGTTCTCCCATCGGACGCGACCCCAGGTGGCGGATAGGGGAAATAACCGCGAACCAAAATTGGAAAAATGTCTTTACTTTGAAACGAAAAGAACTGCCTACCAACTTTTTATTAACATATTTATATATTTTAGTATGGGCGGCTATACGTGCCTCCCGACGCCAATTTTTTTGATATAAATCGCATGATTAAAATTAAAAAAATCATTTAATTTAAATCATGTGTGTGCCAACCCTGGTCAGCAATAAAAAAGGTCTCAAAATGAATTTAGCACTAAAATAAGGTACAAGGAACTAGTAGACAGAAAATATATTTTAGTAAATAACACGACACTGAAAATAGTAGAAGAATATATTATGTTTGGGACAACTAATACTCAGCTCGGGATCTGTACTACTACAAATCAACAGAAGAATTAAGTTAGCATGAACGGACATTATACGGAAACTGCAGATCGCACAACGCTCAATGGAACGAAATATACCGGGAATAACCAAGAAAGACCGTAAAAGAATAGAGTGGATACGACAAAAGGCCCAGGTAATAGATGTCATCCACAGAATCAAATCCTTCAAATGACATTGGGCAGCAGGGGCGGATACAGGAATTTATTTTAGGGCAAATAAAAAGTAATGCAGAATATGCTTTTTAGAAAGCCATTTTTAATCCAAAAGCTTGATATTTAACACAATTTATAGGTCTTAGGGGGCATGGCTATGAAATTTATGCAATACGAATCTAGATTAAACTGTTTTGAAATTTTCAATTATATATTTGACTTTGTTTCTAATAAGAACAAACTTGAACTAAGGTACTTGAAAAACTGTCTCAAAATCAATTAAATCAAAGATTACCTCGATAATTTCAAAGATAAATATTATTATTAATATTTTCAGTAGATCTCAAACAAACAAAAGCATTTTCACTGTATTGTATGTTGATTTTCCTCCTAGATAGAAAAAATATTGACATTGACACAACTACCTTCAATAGGTAACGTAAAATAAAATTAGTATAATAAGAATATTAAATAAAACAAAAAGTAAAAAAAATATTTGCATGATATATTGGTCAAAAATAAGGTATGATCTATTAAAATAAGTGTTTAGCTCTAAGTGGGGGTATAGACTCTTAAGTGATTTGGTTTGCGCAAGCCATTTTGTACAAAGTTTGCGCAAATCTGTCTTTTGTTTACACATTTATTCATTTTGTGTTATTTGTCTGATGGTTTTTTATTTCTTTCTCTTCTTTCTTCTTCTTTCTCAGCCTGGTTCCATCCAGTGTTGGATATAGGCCTCTTCTAGGTTTTTCCATGCTTCGCGATCTCTAGCCAATCTTATCCATTGTCTTCCCGCCACTGCCCTGACGTCATCGACCCATCTCTTTTTTGGTCGGCCCACACTTTTTCGGTCTCCATAGGATTACTTTTTGGGGCCATCGGTCTGGATCCTGTCTTGCCACATGTCCTATCCATTGCCACTTCAGACTTGCCACTCTTTTAACGACATCTATTAATTTTGTTTTTTGACTTATGTGGGTATTCCGTATTTTTTCCCTAATGGTGACTCCCAACATGATTCTTTCCATGGCTCTTTATGCTACTCGTAGTTGTTCTGCTGTTTTTCGAGTAATTGCCATAGTCTCTAAGCCATACGTAAGCACAGGTAGAATGCAGCTGTCGTAAGCCTTTTTCTTTAGGTTCATGGGCACCTTTTTATCCTTGAAAATATTGCTCATATTTCCAAATGCTACCCATGCCAAATCGATCCTGCGTTTGATCTCCGTATTTTGGTTTTCCTTGCCCAGCTTGATTTTATGACCTAAATATATATAATGGTCTACGTTTTCAATAATAACGTTGTCCACGGTAATGTTATGGATATTGTTGCTCATTATCTTGGTCTTCTTCAAGTTCATTTTAAGGCCAATTTTCTGGGATTGGTCATTTAGCTCATTTGGCATGGTGTTTAGTTCTTGAATGTCGGTGCTCAGCAAGACAATATCGTCTGCGAACCTCAGATGGCTAAGGTGTACCCCATCGATGTTTAGACCTCTATTTTCCCATTCTAATTTCTTGAAGACATTTTCCAGTGCCAGTGTAAATAACTTGGGAGAGATGGTATCTCCTTGTCTCACGCCCTTGCCGAGTAGTATTTTTTCTGTTTTGAGGTCATCATCTAATTTAACTTGGAAGGTTGCACTATCAATTTTGCACTATCTGTTTTTTATTTAAACAACCCATATACAGGGTGGTCCGAACTGTATTCCGTAAGCTTCGACCTAAAATGATTAGTTTCGGAGATAGAGGGTGTAGAAGTTTCATTTTTATTTCGATTTTTTCCAAATAATTTCTGAAGTAACGTCAATATTTAGCTGAAAATTGGTGTCTGGGAGTTTTTTGATTTGATTGATTTGACATTTCAAATATATGATTTCAGTCTAATAACTATTTAATCAACATGTTTAATTTATATCAATGATGACAGGTTTTTTACTTATTTTTATCTACAGAATATGCTGTCGAAGTTTCCCGAATACAGTTCGGACCACCCTGTATAAAAGACAATCGACAAACAAATTTTGACGTTAAATCTCAACCAACACATGTCAAAATTATTTAAAATCATGTGATAAAATAACCCCAAATGATGAAAAAAAACGATTTGACAAATCGATTGGTAAAAGCTTTTTTGTTGATTAAGTTTCTATAGAATTTACATTTTTTTCCTATAAATTTATTTGTAATTATTTACACTAAAAATCTATAAAGCCGCATTATAAACAATACATTTATTACATTAACAAATGGCATATTTTCAAAATTTAATATACAATATAATTGTTCATAAAAATTGATTGGAAAAAATCTTTGTTCAAAATTCACGTTGTGTTAAACAGTTATAAAAGCATTTATGATTGTTTTATTGTTTTTTATTACTAATAAAAAGAACGCAATAAGCTTTAAATTGCTTCATATTCAAATATTTCTTTTAATTTAGTGTCTTGATTAATTAATCATTTTTTTTATTAATCGAATGAAAATTATTTCAGATAAAAAAATAAACAAATTAAATGATAGCCCTCTTTGAATGTTTGCATGACTATAGGTACTTCCTACACGTGTACATATTTTTTTGTACCGTTTTTTTGCTCTCCTGTAAAATTAGGAATAATGAAGTTAGCAGTTTATCACGTTTCGATAACATTAAAATCGCTCCAGTCGTTCTTCAGATATATTAAATGGTGTGACTATCCCGAGTTTCCGTTATTTATTTAGATAAACAATAATTGGAGATATAATAGAATAAACAATGTGAAAAAAAAACACTTCTAATTGTGTCTAAATTATAACGGTCTTGTGAACAAAATCACTTGTGACAAATCAAGTGATTTGATAAAAAGGTACCTACTTGTTAATAACGCGTGATATATTAATTAACTTTAATGACAAATTTTCAGAAAAAAACGTCATTAACAACTTTATGTAATCATGAGCTAATAAGAGTTCGATTTCACAAGTAATTCATAAAATTTATTTTTCTCATTAGTTAGTTTTATTTTTTGTTTATTTATTGAAAAAATATAACCAATAATAATTAAGTAATAATATAAAAATTATAGTAACTATAATTTTGGGAAAAATGAATGTCTGGAGAATATAAACATGTACTGATTTCTTTCGAAAATCCACAACTACGACATTATGAACCCTCCCCGGACACAAACGGTACATTATGAAACAGGAAATTGTAGAGAGAAACAAGCCCTATAACATAGGATACAACATTTTAATGAACAGTGCTTTCCATAAAAACAATAAAATGAGAAATATACGAAATAATATACATGTACCGATTTCTTTCGAAAATCGACAACTATGAAACTATGAACCCTTCCCGGACACAAACGGTACATTATGAAACAGGAAATTGTAGAGAGAAACAAGCCCTATAACATAGGATACAACATTTTAATGAACAGTGCTTTCCATAAAAACAATAAAATAAAAAATATACGAAATAATATACATGTACTGATTTCTTTCGAAAATCGACAACTATGAAACTATAAACCCTTCCCGGACACAAACGGTACATTATGAAACAGGAAATTGTAGAGAGAAACAAGCCCTATAACATAGGATACAACATTTTAATGAACAGTGCTTTCCATAAAAACAATAAAATGAGAAATATACGAAATAATATACATGTACCGATTTCTTTCGAAAATCGACAACTATGAAACTATGAACCCTTCCCGGACACAAACGGTACATTATGAAACAGGAAATTGTAGAGAGAAACAAGCCCTATAACATAGGATACAACATTTTAATGAACAGTGCTTTCCATAAAATCAATAAAATGAAAAATATACGAAATAATATACATGTACTGATTTGTTTGTAATTTTACCGGTAACATAATTTTTTGGTAAATTCTAGACATTTGGGCCAGAACCCAAAAAATGTTTCGCCTGTGCCAATTTTTTTACCCTCTCGTCCTTTTTTTTATTTTGAAAGTTGGCAACCCTAGTGCCAGCCCCACCAGGCGAAAAAGGAAACGATCTAGCTAATATAAATCACAGCTTATAAATAATCTGGAGGAAAATCGTACATTTTTATAGTTTTTCTCATGTAACTTTTTCAATAATAAAAAAATTGTTATTCTTTGATAATAAGAATTGAAGCTCAAAAAATAAAATAATTTTTTTAGGCCTGTTAAAGATGGAACAAAATGAAATACCAACCCTGCACAAAATATTAAGAACGTTATGAAATTATATTTTCTATATTTTTTTTCCAGGAAAAATCAGCTGAAAATGCGGACATTCAGACGAATCAAAGCAGCGCACAGCATGGCATCAAGCTTGGCTGGATCCAAGGAGTGCTCATCCCCTGCATGCTCAACATTTTTGGAGTTATGCTCTTTCTGCGGCTCTCCTGGGTAGTTGCTGAGGCAGGAACAGGTACTAGTTGACTTATTATTAATATACAGGGCGATTAAAGAACAGAGACAGTCACAACTTGGTAAAATCAATCGAGAAATCAATAAAAGTTGGCCTTAATGTCATCAAAGATGTTAAAACTATTACTAAATAACATTTCTTATTTACAAGATGCTTAAGTGTCATAATCCTGCAGCCGGATCTTAGACTATATTGTATATCTACAAAATATGTATTACGTACATACATTATAATAATAATAGATCCACTAATACCTGTATAAACATACATTTTCTACGGTCTAGAGCCATTAAAAATAATTAAATATATTGTAGAAAATTGAACAATATATTTAAAAATAAATAACTCAACAGAAACGTGTGAAAAAATTATTATATTTTAGTACTTTTAAATATCCGCTACTATGGTGCTGTATAAAACCAAAGAGTGAGGCAGATAATCAGCTAGTGGTAGTACTAACCAGTGATATCTGGTTGAGACAGACTCAATCCCATTTTACAGGTACCACTGGTACTTGCACCTGAGAAAACGAAGAAAAAATCGTGTTTATATCTCGGAAATAACTGGAATTTTCGAAATCGTGCTGATATAATTTATGAATTCTATTTTTTGTGTCAAAAATTTTGATTTTAAAAGGTCAGAATGATTATTTTTTAGGGTACAGTACCATGTATAATGTAAAATATATTTTTTCAGAGTTCGAAGCATTTAAAAGAAGAAAATCTACAAAATAATAACTGTTTTAGTTATTTCTTAAACGAAAAATTAAAGAGGTCTTTCAATCTAATATAAATAAATGTATTGCTTTGGTACCAATAAATAAATGCCTTAATTGTAAAAAAATTACAATTTGTAGACAAAGGTAAAGTAAACAAACAAACAAAAGAGACTACAAAACAAGTACACAAATTACATTGTCAGTCTTATTGTTTAAAATAAACATTTATAAATGTTTACAATGAAAAAGAATAAAAAAATTAAAAATAAGATTCAAAAATATTTTGAAAGTTTATAATAAATATAGTAAATAGTAAGAGAAAATCTTAGACCAGTATTTACAAGATCAAATTCGTTTATCAAAATATAAGTCATTTACGGAGTAGAAAGCCTTATCTAGTAAATAAGATTTCAATGCTTTGCGATATGAAGAAAATGATGTTATGGATTTGATTTCAAATGGCAGGTGATTGTGCATTTTTTTCGAGTTGTATAATATTGAACTTTTAACTAACTCTGAGCGTGGGGTAGGTAGTTAGGTAGATAAAGTACTTGCTCTAGCCACTGACAAGTTAAGCTCCTTAGAAACAGATCTTAATGCAAAACAGGCAGAGCTCAATTTTTTCGACAAAGCTTCGATATGCATGTCCCATTTCAGAGAATTGTCTACAATAAGCCTTAAGAATTTTATATATTTTACAACGTCAATGGTGGTGTTGTTAAGTACAAAAGGCTGCAGGGAGTTTTTATACGACAAAGCTTTAGTTTTAGAAATGTTGAGTCTCAAGGAGGTTCGATTCGCACCAAGATTTAATGGTGACTAAGTCATTTGATATAATCCTATGAAGTGCCGTGAGGTCGTTGTTGCTCCAAATGAAGCTAGTGTCGTCCGCAAAAAGACATATTTTACCACTGATGTTTATGTTAGCAATGTCGTTAATAAAAAGAAGAAACAAAATGGGGCCTAGTACTGAGCCTTGAGGTACTCCACATTCTATTAGCTTGCTAGAAGACAACGTGGTATCCACCCTCACAAGTTGACTTCTGTTGCTCAAATACGACTTAAACCATTCGAGAGATGTTCCCCTGAACCCATAGTGCTGCAGTTTATTAATTAGGATCTTATGATTTACACAGTCGAACGCCTTAGAAAAATCACAGAAAATTGTTGCTGTATAATGATGGTTATTTAGGCTGGAGTACTTTACTAAGGAGGGAATAACTGTGAGTGAATAACTTTCTGGCTGTATCTCATTTAGTAATTGTGAATTTTAGAGTTTGATTTCATATGAATTTCATTATAACACAACTTAAGTGATGCAAAATGCGAATAACTTTTTCATCTAACGATGTGACAGTATTTTTATATAAATTTCCTTTCAAAATTATCGCCTGTAATCCATATTCTTGTTAAAACTTCTAAGGATATATGAAAGATCAATTGACACTAAATCTGGAGTGCACGATGGCGACGTGTTGACTAGGTTGTATCTATTTTGGGTTGTTTTGAAACCAAATTCGATGTATAGCAAAAACGTTCAATAATAATTCCGAATATTTCCGGGATAGAATATGCAGTTATGAAAATATGATCGACTCATGATGCAGTTATTTTACAAATTTTTGTTTATATGTACTACGCGTGTACTTCAGCGTGATATATACATAAAATATGCATAGATACTAAGTAGTAATGTAGGTAAATACAAGGTGTATTATTATATTATATTTGATTATGTTATGGTAGATTAGAACATGTTTTTTGACCTGATCATTTTATAATATATAATGATCTGACAATGAACCTATAATAAACAAAAATTAACATAATTTAATTGTTTCAGTATACAGGGTGTCCCAGGCTGAGCGTGCATTAGAAGTCCCTAGAAACTTCTAATGTACGCTAATGTAAGTACAATATCTAGATCGGAGATTTTTTGTACATCACTGTTTCACAATGAGATCTATCGATTAGAAATATTTTCAGTATGGCGGCACTTCCGGAAATACCGGAAGTTGACAGCGATTCGGTTATTTTAAATGGGAACCGCCATTTTTTATTATATATTTAAATTGTCTGTAAAATTTTATGAATTTTGATATCAAACACTCTGTACCTAACATTAACCATTTTTGAGAAAACAATTTTTTTTAATTTTTGGAGGAAAAAAATGCCCGTTAAAAAAATTTGTATAGTCTAAACGTCAAATTTAGTGATTACCACAGTCACTATGACATAAGGAGAAGACATGTGGCTATCTATTTCAGAAATTAAATTGTTTGAATGTCATATAAAATTGAGCGTAGCCGTCATGGAATTGAGAGATTAAAAAATTTATCATTAATCATTTTTTTTTCAAATGGAAACCCGCTTTTTTTATTGCACTAGTGAAAAGGTTTTTTAATTCGTTACTTTTTGTTTATACATGTTCCTATACCTAAAATAAATTGTTTTTAAGTTATTTAAGATTTAGTTTTAAAGGGTACATTTCTCTCCCTATTGGCTTTTAACCAGTAGCCTATAACGTTAAACGTCAAGCGATGTAAAACTATATCTAGCCATGTCATATGGCCATTAAATATCACTAAAATGTGAGATATATTTTTATAAATACAGTTTATAGTAAGTTTTAGCAGCACTATTTACAACAGAGAATAGGTACACTAAAGAAATGCTAACTTAATGTTAAAAAATGGAAACAGACGCCACCTGAAGTAGCCTGGCAGTACTAGCTAAATTGAGGGGAATTGGAGGGGCGGGGTTTAAAAGAGGGGAAATTTAAAAAAAATATATTTTTATAAGTATCACTGACTTACTGTTTAAAGTTAATAAATATATTTTTTATTACTTTAATATAATTTAAAGTATTAAAAAATATGTCTATTAACTTTACACAGCAAATCAATGATATTATTAAACACTTATTATTTTCAGAGAAAATTCATAGTAAATAAATTACACATTAGTAAACAATATCATTTATTTTTTAGAGCTGCGATTTATATTACAATAATATTGAAATATATATATTTTTTTAACAATGAAAAAGAATATCCCGGAACCTGAAAAAGAAAGATGATCAATTAATGACTTAAATTAGTTCAAAATACATTTTGCAAATAACTAGCGAATTGGAAAGATAAACATACTATTAAAAAGACATTTTAGTAGTATGTTATCATCTATTTACTGATAATACATAAGTATTTAATAGGTAAATAACATGCATAAGGCACTATGATACAACTACCTAGTAGTTGTATCATAATAGCACACTAATATCACAAAAATATGTGCTAATTTAAATTCCTTTAATGATCTAATGAAACACTATCTAGCCTCAACGCATGCCATTCCAAAGGCAAAAAAACTGTTATACCATATAAATATAAGCTGAATAAAACATAAACCAAGCCAACGTCCATAAACAACCAAAAAATACATCAAAAAATATTTTTATCAGATCATACCCTATGGATATATTATGTATTTTATATATCGCACATCCCATTCAAAAGTTTACTAACTCAAAATAGAGAATATAGAGAATATTGTCAAGAGAAGTAAAAGAAAATTTAAGTTAAAGCAATATGCTCCTTTTTGCATATTAATGGCCAAATAATATAATGTTGATTTAATAAAATTTTACTGGCATCCTTCTGAGGTGTAAATCAGATTAAAAGGGCATTGTTTTTGTAATAATTGTTTGTTTTGTAAACATTTTTTGAAGACAATACAGTTTTGAACGGGCTGTGCGATATAAACAAGGACCTTACTATTATTTGAGGTTAGAGTGTATTTAAATAATATAAAACATAATCAAAATCATTTTTCATCATAAATTATAGAGGTACTTACGTGTTTTGATATTATTATCAGGAAATAATACGTTTAGTTAAACAGGTACGCTGCCAGGCAAGTTCTATCGGCGGGTCTTTGCAAAAGTTGAAATCTAAAAATACAAAAATACGTTTACATCTTAGTTGTATTTACGAATAAAGTATTTGTGTGTAATTTCTGACTTACCAGTTAACTGAATAATCGCATTAAATACATCCAAATGGTAATTTAATATTGTAAAAAAGCAAAATTGTTTTATATCACTTGCCAGGACAGCCGGCCAGCTTCTTTGTTGGCAAAATCGCCGCGGTATCATGATTTAAGCAATGTGAGTGACAAAGAAAGCCAATGCCTGGCAGATGTTGCTTTCTTTGTCGTTGGTCCTGGCACGTTTAAATTTGACTGTTGCATGTTTTCCCATACAAGTGAAACCCCCGTGAAATTTACAATAATAATATACGAAATTCAAAAAATTAGTTTTTTGACAGAAGGAAATAAACTGTCTGATGGTTTGACACTTAATGTCAAAGGAAGCTAGATAAAATCAAGAAAAAAATACGCTTTAAAACTAAATATTAAATAAGTTAATAACCGTTTTACATTAGGTATAGGAACATAGGTTTCCATTTGAAAAAAATAATTTATGATAATTTTATAATCTCTCGATTCCATGACAGGCTGCGACCAATATTATATGACATTAAAATAATTTTATTTTGAAATATATAGCCACATGTCTTCTCTTTATGTCACAGTGGCTGTGGTAATCACTAAATTTGACGTTGAGGCAATTTTTTTTAGAGGCGGTTTTTTCCTCAAAAAATTTTAAATATTTTTTTCCTCAAAAACGGTTAATGTTAGATATAGAGTGTTTAATATCAAAGTTCATAAAATTTTACAGAGAATTTAATTATCTAATAAAAAATGGTGGTTTGGTTTGGTTTAATATTAATAAAAAATGGTGGTACCCATTTGAAATAAGAAAATTGCTGTCAACTTCCGGTATTTCCGGAAGTGCCGCCATATTGAAAATATTTTTAATCGATAGATCTCACTGTGAAACAATGACGTGCAAAAAATCTCCGATCTAGATCTTGTAGTTCTCTAGAAACTTCTAATGCACGCTCAGCCTGGGACACCCTGTATATTATCATCTACTCCGTAGCATTGAACTAAATAAATTTCGTGCTTCTTTAACATTTTAAAACAGCAAAAATATGACGTTAATTAAAATTCTATCAATAACAATCAATCAAAGAAAGAAAACGAATTAATATTACCACTAAAAATATTTGCATTTATTTAAGACTCACCCTGTATATATCTTTTATTTTTAGGATTATCCCTACTCATCATAGCAATATCAGCGGTTGTCTGTGTAATAACGACTTTGTCCTTATCAGCCATCTGTACAAACGGTGAAGTTAATGGAGGTAAGTTTTCCTGTGCGAAAAAAATATTTTTCCAACCATTTTTAGTAATAAGAGAATATTAAAAACTACCAAAATGAATGACACATGTTTTAATAAACTTTTAAAGATTGTTAAGCCCTTAATCACAAATTAACTACAACAGATGCGAAAGAACACCGAATTACGCGTTCAGGTTTCTGTGACCTTCAGAAAGAGTTCATAGACAATCCGCATCAATGTATAGTTTGGGTTATTATTTGTTTGGGTGAAAATAATCTGCACCAATATGTTATCGAGGCATACAAAAAGGTCAACAGACTTCGAGACATACGAAAAATCAACACCATTTAGCGTGTGTCACAATTTTCACACCTTAAAAAAATAGTTTTTTATAGCTATAGCAACTGCAGCGACTATGAAAAAAGCTGTGTGATTCTCATAGAAAATAAGGGCACCTGTAATTCATTTGAGAATGTTATAAATCGCTAAAAGAGGTTTCAAATCTCTTGGATTTCTATTAATATTAAATAAATTTTATTAAAAATTGAACTAAAATTGTTAGTATCATTAAAAACAATTCAAATTCAAAAATTGTATCAGTCAAATTCCCTCATTTAAGGTGAATATTAAAGTAAATATAAATACAGCTCATTCTAAGCTCTACTTATCTTTAAGTAAAATTTAAATCATTGTTGCAATTGGGCCTTAATGCCATTTCGAATGAACAATAGTATTAATAATGTACATTATAATAATAATAAATTTTATATCCATAGTGTGTATTAAAACTACTAAAACACTTTTAAATTGGTATTATATTAACAACTTTTGTTTTTTAATCCAAAAAAAAGTTACCAATTTTCTCAATCAAAATATTTGTGGTCCTGAAAAGGACCTTCGTTTTCCCATGTTCGTCAAGCTAGGTAATGGGTAAACGGTAAAAAACAGGATAATAAAATTTAAAAAATTACAAAAAATGTTCAAAAGTACCTCCCTCTTGCATTAAACAATAACCTAAACGATCATAAAATCCCCTCCTCACATTGGATAACATATCAGGGGTGACAGTGTCAAAGGCATTAAATATTTTCTGCCTTAACTGCTCCTAGTTTTGAATTTCTGTGGACTTTTCTGTATAATCTCACAGTAATTTAATAGATTGCTCGTCATATTATATCAGCTCGTAGGAGATTAGGAAAAAAAAGATATTTAGAGTATAAATTAATTTATTTAACAAAATTTAATTAAAGATGTGACAAAATAGTTACATTTCTATTGGTTCTATCGGACTTTTTTCGACTATATAAATCTTTATTTTTTGTAAACTTTAATGCATAAAATATTTTCAATCTAATAAATAATTTAATGATGTAAATAAGAGGAAATTTCTCACATGGGTGGTCAAATTCTATAGTTTTCATTATATGACAAAACTTAAGTTTTTGATACTCGTATCTGAATATGATTAAATATTCCCGTTAATTCTCTGGACATATTCTTCTGAAACATCATTAAACAGAATATATCGCAGGATAAAGACATATCTATTAATAAACCATATCGCTAACGACTCACCCTGATGATGATCGATCTATTCTATACGCTTGCAACACGAAACGAGATTTTGCCTTGAATGTAATTAGCAAAAAGCTGGTCCCGTAATTGAAGTCCAGGACTAAGCTGGACAAGAACCTGGATACTACGTTTCGCTGGGTTAATTAAGTCCCTCTTTTTCAGACTGAACAAAATAATCGTCGCTTCAATCGATATACACTTCATTACAGAAGTAAAAAAGCATCGAAACTATGTTTTGGTGAAAAAGAAATATTTATTTTTTATACAAGATGATAAAATGGTATTTTATCGTCGTGTATAAAACAATATTTTTTCCATAGCGAGTTACGTTTTAAAAAATATTTAGAAATTATTATTTCAAGGAAATTATTACGAGTACCTACAAAAAATATTGTGCTGGGTTGGCGTTGGTTTCTATGTTATTTGACAAATAAATAAAGCTGTCTCTTTAGTTGTCAGTTTTGTAGTTTTGAACATGTTTTGAATCAATATTTTTTAATTCTCTTTCGTGTCGATTGCTGATTGAATTGGAGCCAGAATTGGCTCAAAACGAAATACAAAACGTAAATTACAAACAGATATTCAGAAATTTTTTTATCCAACCTTTTTTTAAATTTTCTAATATTTTCTACTTTTAGGTATTCAAAATACTGATTACGTTGTTCTAAAATAGTTTTCCTTAGGTGGAATATACTACATCATCTCCAGATCCCTCGGACCTGAGTTTGGAGCCTCTGTAGGCATAGTCTTTGCTTTCGCAAACGCTGTATCCGCATCCATGAACACCATAGGCTTCTGTAACTCGCTCAGCGATCTACTGAACACCTACGGATACAAAATATTCGATGGTGGAGTCAATGATGCCAGAGTTATAGGTTAGGAAAACCTCGATCAAGTTGGAATACTTTTATTTATGATTTTTCTGGAACTTTAGGAACCATATCCACTCTGGTTATGATCCTGATCTGCGCTGTGGGTATGGAATGGGAGAGCAAAGCTCAGAACTTTCTTATAGCAATCATAGGAGGCGCTATATTCGATTTTGTAGCTGGTGCAATAATGGGACCTGTGAATGATGTTCAGAGAGCTCAAGGGTTTACAGGGTTTAATAGTAATATCCAAAATTACACAATAATAGTCAAAATATACCATTAAACAACTAATTTTAGGCACAGTATGGACCGACAATTGGTATCCAAGCTACAGAGTCTCAGAAGGAGTTGACTACAACTTCTTTCAAGTATTTGCCATATTTTTTCCGTCAGTTACTGGTATTCAAGCGGGAGCAAACATTTCGGGAGACCTTAAAGTAAGTAAACATTTTTTTAAACTACTTCTGATTTGCCCTTTTAATTATATAACTCTACACTTTTAGGATCCAGCGTCTGCAATTCCTAAAGGAACTATGCTTTCACTCATTATTACCATGATAACTTACGCCTTATTTGTTGTATTTTCTGGTGCAGCTGCTGTCAGGGATGCCAGTGGCAACGTTGCTGACTTTGTAGCGGGCAACTTAACGGACTGTGCTCAAAATTTCACTTGCGATTATGGACTTTTCAACAGCTATCAGGTAGAGATTATATATAACATGTTTAAGTTATTGTTACTAAAAACAACAAATATATTTTTTATTTGGGTATAAAAAGTTTTAAAAGCTACAAGCTCTTTTAATACATTAGTTGTGTCCGCCAAATATAATAAGAAAACTTCACCCTCATCATTTAAAAAAATCTTTAAGAACAAAAATATCAAATAACATTTTTACTTTTATTTAAAGAGTATCAAAAGCTTCAAGCTCTTTTAATACACTAGTTGGGTCTTCCAAATATAATAATAGAACTCCACCGTTATCATTTAAAAAAATTATTATGACCAAAAATATAAATTAACTTTTTTATATCGATTTAAAAAGCTTTAAAAGCTAGAAGCTCTTTTAAAACAGTAGTTGGGTCTTCCAAATATAATAAGAAAACTTTACCATTATCATTTAAAAAATTCTTTAAAAACAAAAATATCAAATAACATTTGTACTTCTATTTAAGCTTTTTAATACAGCAGTTGGGTCTTCCAAATATAATAACAGAACTTCACCATTATCATTTAAAAAAATCATTCAAAGATCAAAATTATCAAATAACTTTTTTACTTTTATTTCAAAAGTTTCAAAAGCTTCCAGCTCTTTTAATACAGTAGTTGTGTCTTCCGAATTTATTAACAAGACTGTACCATTATCATTATTTTTTCTTTACTTTCAGATGATGACAATAATGTCAGCTTGGTGGCCTTTAATCTACGCTGGATGCTTCGCTGCGTGTATCAGTACGGCCTTAACCAACCTACTCTCAGTACCACGACTTATTCAAGCTTTAGGAATCGATGAGATCTATCCAGGGCTTATATACTTCTCCAAAGGCTATGGAAAAGCTGGAGAGCCTTACAGAGGTTACGTTCTAACCTTCCTCGTTTCTGTCTCGTTTGTTCTGATTGGTTAGTTCACTTTAAGGCACTATAAGATAGTTTTGGTTAATATTTTTTGTTAATTTTAGGTGAACTAAATGCCATAGCTCCCTTGATATCGAATTTCTATTTGGCTTCGTATGCTTTGATCAATTTCTGTACTTTTCACGCTGCATTGATCAAACCCCTGGGTTGGAGACCTGAGTTTAAAGTATAAAAATTAATAATTTAATAGAAACAAAATATAGAGAATTTGTTTTCAGTACTATAATGTATGGTTGAGTCTATTTGGATTCATCTCCTGCGTAGCAATCATGTTCCTGATCAACTGGAAAACATCCCTAATAACATTTATCGTAATCCTGGGTCTATATTTAGTAGTTGTATACAGAAATCCTGGTAATATTCACATTACTTTTAGATTTGACAGTCTGATTATACTGTTAAAAGTTCTTTGCTTCTTTCAGACGTCAACTGGGGCTCATCTACACAAGCCCAGACTTACAAGACAGCTCTCGCATCAACTCAGAAGCTGATCAACGTTGGGGAACACGTGAAGAATTACAAACCTCAAATTTTGGTGCTGACTGGTTCTCCCAAACACAGGCCATCTTTGATTGATTTTGCCAGTACTATCACTAAGAATCATTCGCTTTTGATTGTGGGTGATGTCATCGAAGTAAGTTTGATAATATATATACTGATAAAAACCATTTATATAAATATTAAAATATTCTTTCAGTCAAAAATCAATCACAAGATTAAGGCTCAACGAACCATTGATGCGTATACTTTTTTGAAAAACAACAAAGTGAAGGCATTTTACAATTCGATTGACAGCACAAGTTTCGAAGAAGGTGCCAAGGCATTGATGAAAGTTTCAGGCATTGGAAAACTGGTTCCAAACGTGTTGCTCATGGGTTACAAAGCTGATTGGTCAGTGTGTCCGAGACACGAACTAGTTTCGTACTTCAACGTCTTACAGTAAGTTAAAAAGTTTCTAGCTTTAAAATGATAACGGTAAAGTTCTGTTATTATTTTTGGAAGACCTAACTAATGTATTAAAGGATCTTGTAGCTTTTAAAGTATTTTAAATCGAAATAAACAAGTTATTTGACATTTTTCATAATTATCTTTTCTTAAAATGATAATGGCGAAGTAGTCTTACTATATTTGAAAGACCTAACTACTATATTAAAGGAGCATGTAACTTTTAAAGCTTTTTTAATCGATAAAAAAGAGTTATTCGATATTTTTGGTCATGATAATTTTTTAAAATGAGAATGGTGAAGTTCTCTTATTATATTTGAAAGACCTAACTACTGTATTAAAAGAGCTTGTAGCTTTTAAAGCTTTTTAAATCGACATAAAAAAGTTATTTCATATTTTTCTTCATGATATTTTTTCAAATTGATAATGGTGAAGTTTTCTTGTTATATTTGGAAGACCTAACTGCTGTATTAAAAGAGCTTGTAGGTTTTAAAGCTTTTTAAATCGACATAAAAAAGTTATTTAATATTTTTGATCATCATATTTTTTCAAATTGATAAAGGTGAAGTTTTCTTATTAAACTTGAAAGACCTAACTACTGTATTAAAAGAGCTTGTAGCTTTTAAAGTTTTTTATATCAAAATAAAAAAGTTATACAAAAATAAATAAATATTTTTCATATATCCAGCGCAGCATTTGATCAGCACTTGGGAGTGGCCATTTTAAGAGTCAGTGGAGGCCTAGATTACAGCAGTTTGACTGATATAGAGGACAACAGTAGCTCTTCCGAGCACTCAATAGTCTCAGTTCAGCAACAGGAACTCAGAACATCTCCGTCAAGTGCTCTGATGATGCATTCTGATTCGAACCTTAACATCAACGATGTTGGGCTTGCCGTAACCAAATCTAGTGGAGAACCGATTATGTCTGATGAGTCTAATAATATCAATCCTAAAGAAGAACCTAAAAAAGAAAGTAAGATATGATTAGGATCAGTTTCAACAAAAAATATAAAAAAAATGAAATAAAATAATTAAATTAAAGACACATTTATTGCAAATATTACCATAAAATATTATTTCAAATGATTGATTATTTCAGGCAATATTTTGAACCTAAATTCAAGTAAAAAGAAGCAAAAACAATCAAAAATCAAGCTGGATGTCGTGTTGAGTATGTCCAACGAAAAACTGCCTCACGTTGAAGAAATCAACAGGTTTAGAAAGAAGCAAGACAAAGGGTAAATACAAAAATAATTAAAAAATAAAAAATTAAAGATCTTTTTTTAGATAAATATTTTTTATAGTAAATTTTTTCTTTTATAACATTTTTTTGTAGATTTATTGACGTATGGTGGCTATATGACGATGGTGGACTGACCATGCTTCTTCCTTACATAATATCGACCAGACATTGCTGGTCCAGCTGTAAACTCAGAGTTTTTGGACTGGCCAGCAATACTAACGACCTAGCTCTGGAGGAAAGAAAGTAATAACTATTGTTTTAACCGTTCTGTCTTAAATTGACATTATTTTGTTTTTTTCTCTAGCATGGCCCATTTATTGTCAAAATTCAGACTGAATTACACGTCTCTTAAGATGGTTTCCCTCTCGGATAGACCCAGTGATGAGACTGTAGCTGCTTTCAACAGTATAGTCAGTGGTTTTAAGAGTGAAACTAATACTCTCAATGGTACATAGAACAGTTTTTAAATGAATGCCTTTTATTACCAGTTAATTTTGTTTTAGACTGTCAAATAACAGACGCAGAATTGAATGCCAATCAAGAAAAGACACACAGACAACTTAGGTTACGAGATCTTCTAGTTGAAAACTCACAAAATGCCAATTTAATAGTAATGTAAGTGCTCCAATTTTTCAAAAATACAAAATTTATTTCTTTATTGTATTATACTTTTCTAAAATATACTTTTTTCAATTTATAGGTCTCTTCCAATGCCCAGAAAGGGTAGTTTATCAGCCCCCCTGTATATGGCTTGGCTCGAAGTCCTTACAAAAGATATGCCTCCGTTTTTACTAGTCAGAGGCAACCAACAATCAGTACTTACGTATTACTCTTAAAAAACGAGATTCTTACAAATAAAATTTGATCTAGATTAGTTAAAAATGTTTCAGTATTATTTTACTTAAGTTTCACGTACTTTATTATAGTTTAGTCGTTTATTTAAGTGATTTTAATTGAACGTGCTTAATAAAAATAGCATATTCCATTTTATTTATGTCCGAGACTTAACTATGTAATAGAATTGACGTTGATAAGTAATTGTAAGGTTGTTTAGGCATGTAAAATATTGTTATGGCTTTTAAATAGAGATATTTTTAGAATTAATTCGTTATTTCATTTTAAATTATTTTTATGGCGCCTTCTTGTCGATAAAACAGAGTTCTTGAGTCCCGAATCTGTAAAGATTCTGTGGCATAAGAAACAAAGAATGACAGCTAGGAATGGTAACATTCATAAAAATATCGATATATTCGATTTCTTCAGATAATAATCGAATAAAGTTTGTCCAGCGAGCGAGGGGATGATTTTAACAGACGACAGCTTAATATTGACAGTAAAAAGACTTACCTCTGAATTAAAATGACAGGTAACAGTGCCACATTAAGTAACTGAAAAACATGGCCACTCTTGACTGCTAACGATTATTCTTGGGATTTTTCTTTCCAATGCAGTTTTTCAAAGTCTCTTCAACTTTTTATTCTTAATCTAAAAGTCGTCAACAATAAAATATAAAAAATATGATAACAAATAACAAGTTGTTGCTCTTTCCATTAAATTTTAGAAAAAATATCGATATATTTAATATATCGATAAACAGAAGCCATCTCTATTCACAGCTGCTAACCTGACAGTTGACAGAGTTGTCAAAAGAAATTAACAAAAGGCATGAAGAAATCTTTGCAGTATTGAGAAGAAGAATTACACAAATAAGCACAAAAAATCGTTATAAGGTCTTTAATTTTCTAAAATATTTTTACTGGTGAGTCGTGGAAGCAGTTATGATCCTAAAAACACAGTAAAATAATGCTTTGCGCATTGATATTCGCGGTCAAAGACATGCACAGCACCAAACAATCAATGATTCCCGTTTTTCTTGGAATTTACTAAACACAAACATACAAAAAGGTAAATCGCAATACACGGCATGACCCTTACACTTCCTACCATGCCTACAGTGAGGAAATACCGAAGAGAGACCACTGAAGTGAGCAGCTGTCTCAAGTATATGATTTTCGGTTTCAACGTCTTGTTTTGGGTAGGTTAATTTGCTCTACATTCGTGAACTGTTGTTCTAATTTCTAAACACCGTTTTTTACAGATGTTAGGACTATGTATTTTGACTGTGGGCGTCTGGGCATGGTCCGAAAAAGATATTTTCAATAATTTAGGAAAGGTGGCAAACGCAGCACTTGACCCGGCATTTATTTTGATATGTGTAGGCACCGTTACTTTTGTCATAGGCTTTACTGGCTGTGTAGGTGCTCTGAGGGAAAATACATGTCTTCTAGCTACGGTAAGTGCAGTTCTTTCTCATAATCCTATTCCTAATAACTTTTTTTTTAGTACGCTATCTTCCTGTCGGCTCTTTTGCTCTTTGAAATGACTGCAGGCATTCTAGGTTTTATATTTAAAGACTGGGTGAGTCATTCATACTTTATACTAAGAATTTATTGATTTCAAGTCTTTATTGATCATTTTAGATCAAAGCACAAGCAGCTATAGGGTTTCAATCGTTCATAATCCATTACAGAGAGGATCCTGATCAACAAAACTTAATAGATTGGATACAGGAAGACTGGGTTAGTTTAAATATTGCTTGGAACTGTTCTGTGTTATATTTATAAGTGTTTTTATAGCTTCAGTGTTGTGGAATTGAGGGACCCAAAGATTGGGATAGAAATAATTATTTTAATTGTTCGTCTAGAGATGTAGGAAGCAGGGAAGCTTGTGGAGTTCCGTTTTCATGCTGTAAACGTCAACCAACGGTAAGTTCTGTGTTAATTACCTTAACGAATGGTTGATTTTGATTTTTTTTTGTTTTAGGAACTAATAACTAACAAACAATGCGGTTATGATGTGAGGAAACCTGGTTTTGTAAGTATATTTTTATTTTTTTTACAAAAGTTTCAAAATATTGGATTTTAATTAAACATGCAGCCAAAGGAAAGACAGATATATGAAAGGGGTTGCCTAAGAGCTGGCGAAGAGTGGATAGAAGGCAATCTCGTGCTTGTGGCTGCGGTAAAAGTAGGAATTATGATCCTACAGGTACATTTAGGCAACCCACTCTACTTCTATCAGTTTTTTTATATATTTTTTCACTGTATTTTGTGAGCATGATTTTTCTTTATTTTTGCATGTTTTTTTTACTGTCTAGGCTTTTGACGTGTCAAAAATAATAAACGAACAGGGCTGTCTAGAGGCTGTTGAAGAATGGACTGAGAAAAATATGATTTCTATTGCTTCCTGCACTTTTGTCGTTTTGTTTCTTCAAGTAAGTAGTAAATGTGAATGATTCAATTTTTATTTTGTGTGTGTAAAATTTCAGGGATGGGTTAGTAAAAAACATTAACATAAACAAAGTTTTTTATATGGAAAATTTTTTTACGCGTAAGATAGCTAGTTTTGATATATAAAAGCCAGTTCTTCTGTTGAAATCATGTTCTTGTAAAAAATATAGTATTTTACGTGTAAACAATAGTTTTTAAGACATATTTACCTTTGAATAAAAATATTAAGGTAGGAGTATAATGCTATTCATGTATTCATTCATGGGTGGGGATCCTTGACAATTCTGTTTGACCATTCATTTGACACATTTGAATTTGATTTGAAATTTTGTGGATTTGTCAGTCTTTACTGAGCTTACTTTATGTTATTTATTATTTATTCTACTATTGATGGTTCTATAAAGGTAGTAAATCTAGAAGGAAATCGTGGCAGAACTTAAATTAACAGTAACACTATTGCGATTTATCGAAAAAGACTGTAAAATAGTTGATTGTATAGCGTGCGGTAGATCTCGGTCAAAAATCGAGTGAAATAATGGAACAACTTTTCGCTAGTAAGTGCCTATATAATATACATACGTGTAAGTAAATCAATCATTTATGAAATTCACTTAAAATTAACTAATTATATATTTTTTCTTGCATTTTTGCTTTTATTTACTACTTGTCAAAGATTAGATAAAAAATTTAGATGTGTCAATTTGACTTACCTGCTTCAGTAGCGTATCGGACGTTTGTGTTAATAAATATTATAACTTATCTATTTTTATTAGAGTTATATATTTTTATAACAATTTTAATAACTACCAACATTTATTGACAACGTGAAATAAAACAACAAATTATTGAGTCTACCCCACGTCCAAGAACAGTTAACCCAGAGAATAGGTACAGCTGGTTCCAAAAAAAATGAATACGACTCTTTATACATTTTTTTCGAATATTTGGGCAGCCTATATTTATGTGTCAAGTAGTTTGGCATGTTAAGGTTATTTTGACATTGTATAAAACAACTTTGCTTTTGACAAAGTGCCAAATAAATTTTTCAGAACGTCAGCATGACATGAGTAGAGAAATGGGTGACTGTTATAGAATATACTGCCCGAAATAATACAAATATGTTTTAAATTGTATTCAATTTTATTGGAACCAGCTGTACATTAAAGAAATGCTAACTTCATGTTAAAAAATGGAAACAGACGCCACCTGGTGTAGCCTGGCAGTACTAGCTAAATTGAGGGGAATTGGAGGGGCGGGGCTTAAAAGAGGGGAAATTTAAAAAAAAATATTTTTATAAGTATCACTGACTTACTGTTTAAAGTTAATGAACATATTTTTTATTACTTTAATATAATTTAAAGTATTACAAAATATGTCTATTAACTTTACACAGCAAATCAATGATATTATTAAAAACTTATTATTTTCAGAGAAAATTCATAGTAAATAAATTACACATTAGTAAACAATATCATTTATTTTTTAGAGCTGCGATTTATATTACAATAATATTGAAATATATATATTTTTTTAACAATGAAAAAGAATATCCCGGAACCTGAAAAAGAAAGATGATCAATTAATGACTTAAATTAGTTCAAAATACATTTTGCAAATAACTAGTGAATTGGAAAGATAAACATACTATTAAAAAGACATTTTAGTAGTATGTTATCATCTATTTACTGATAATACATAAGTATATAATAGGTAAATAACATGCATAAGGCACTATGATACAACTACTAGGTAGTTGTATCATAGTGGTAGTGTATTGATTATAATCATAATAGCACACTGATATCACAAAAATATGTGCTAATTTAAATTCCTTTAATGATCTAATGAAACACTATCTAGCCTCAATGCATGCCATTCCAAAGGCAAAAAAAAACTGTTATATCATATAAATATAAGCTGAATAAAACATAAACCAAGCCAACGTGCATAAACACCCAAAAAATGCATCAAAAAATACTTTTATCAGATCATACCCTTGTATATATTATGTATTTTATATATCGCACATCCCATTCAAAAGTTTACTGACTCAAAATAGAGAATATAGAGAACATTGTCAAGAGAAGTAAAAGAAAATTTAAGTTAAGGCAATATGCTCCTTTTTGCATATTAATGGCCAAATAATATAATGTTGATTTAATAAAATTTTACTGGCATCCTTCTGAGGTATAAATCAGATTAAAAGGACATTGTTTTTGTAATAATTGTTTGTTTTGTAAACATTTTTTGAAGACAATACAGTTTTGAACGGGCTGTGCGATATAAACAAGGATCTTACTATTATTTGAGGTTAGAAAGTATTTAAATAATATAAAACATAATCAAAATAATTTTTCATGATAAATTATAGAGGTACTTACGTGTTTTGATATTATTATGAGGAAATAATACGTTTAGTTAAACAGGTACGCTGCCAGGCAAGTTCTATCGGCGGCTCTTTGCAAAAGTTGAAATCTAAAAATACAAAAATACGTTTACAGCTTAGTTGTATTTACGAATAAAGTATTTGTGTGTAATTTCTGACTTACCAGTTAACTGAATAATCGCATTAAATACATCCAAATGGTAATTTAATATTGTAAAAAAGCAAAATTGTTTTAAATCACTTGCCAGGACGGCCGGCCAGCTTCTTTGTTGGCAAAATGGCCGCGGTATCATGATTTAAGCAATGTGAGTGACAAAGAAAGCCAATGCCTGGCAGATGTTGCTTTCTTTGTCGTTGGTCCTGGCACGTTTAAATTTGACTGTTGCCTGTTTTCCCATACAAGTGACACCCCCGTGAGTTAACTTAATAGGACTGCTCATTCAACCGAAAGTGTCTGCCAGGTGCACGCAAAAACTCTTCGCTTTGTGACGTCATTGTAGTCCTTGTCATGAGAGTGTGTGTATTATTGGTTGCTGTATGCAAAACATTCATTATTTAGTTTATTTATTTAAACACCTTATATGTATGCAGTATAGAAAATTAACTGTATAAATTGTATTAAATATTCACATAATGCATTTTTAAGAACAGCAGTTCCCAGCATCACCTTTTGCAGGCATTCTTTTTAGAGTACTTACATATTTTGCTTTAAAATAATTAATAAACAATATCGTAGGCACTTAGTAAGCACTTAGTCACAATCCACAACACAAAATGAACGTATTTATAAACTCTATAGCTCTAAAAACTGTAAAAACACCTTTTTCACATTTAAAATCGACAAAATAATTAACTCAAAATTTCTCAGCTGTTATTTTTATTAGTTTACCATGGGCAACCAATAATAGACACTATCATGACAAGGTCTACAATAACGTAACAACTGTCAGCTGAAGCGCGGGAAGAGGCGAACGTACGTCTTATGAGAATTCTTCTTGCCCCACGTCTACCATATACTACTTAAATCCATCAAATTTTTACACGTTTTGAATAAAATTAGACGATTTAAGATTTTTAATATGCTCCTTCCTTAATCTTTTTATTCAGATGTATTTACCAATTTTTTAGCTTGACTTGACACAAACGCACAAATCTCTTCCTATTTTCCAGATCCTGGGCATCTGCTTCGCGCAGAACCTGCGCGGCGACATCTTCGCGCAGAAGGCCAAGTGGCACTGACAGTTGCGGGCTCCCACGGCCGTCTAGTACAACTTCATGTACCGCACGGCCTGGGAGTCGCCGCAGTGCTCCGCGCAGTTCGAGCACCTGCGCATGCTCGACAGGGTGGAGATCAGTATCGGGCGATAGAGAAACCACGCACCATATACATACAAAAGAATATACAGCGGCGTTTTCATAACAAGCAAGGAAAGGATTTAATTCTCGTGTTTTCTTTTTGTTCTATATCTATTCTTCAATATTGGGACAAGAATATATGCGGTACCTAGCCGTATATTGTTTTATATGTATGTGAGAAACACGGCACCGACTTGTGGTGGTAAATATGGAAATGTCAAATAAAAATTATATAGAAAATACAGTGTGTGCGCTATGTGCGCATTTTTGAAGTGAAACTTCTTACTAACGGCTATTAAATTGAAGGAAATGTTTGAAAAAGTAACTTATAATGCCGTTTTTATATACAGGGTGTGCCACTTAAGATGGATACAAGCCAATATCTTGATTGTTTGTTGAGCGATCTTTTTCATTTTTGGCAGGAGGCTGTATGGCTATAAGACGTATATTTTGCCCAGGGTAAGAAGTGCGTTACCTCATAGACGTACGTTTTAATGGGGTTTGATATTTTTCGAGTCAAGAGTAAACTACCCTTAGGACAGTATTTATTTCAAATCTGATAAATTATATTGAATCCTCTTTACGTAAGATACTCGATTTTGCGGGATTTACCGTGCGGGATCTGCGGGATCGACACAAGGGGTTTCCCCTTACCGCTTGGCCATTAAAAATAAGTGAAACACACAGGTTAGTTGTTAGATTTCTTTCTGGCGTGCGTAAGTGAAGAAAAGCGTTTAACTAGTACCTTAGGATCGAATAAAAACGGCGTCAACGATGGCTATGAAATGAAAATCGCTGTCATTTTATATGTAAAATTATATGGGAAATGTCATCGATCGTCATTTCCAAGCCAACTGGACGTCGGTTTTTTTTCGATCATACAGTACTTGTGGACAATTTCGTCAAATAAACTGCCGGACATAATTATCGGGACAAGCAAAATTTTTGGGTAAATTTAAAGTTGAATATCTCTTGAACTAAAAAAGATTTTGGGATGCGGTTTGGACCGGGTTTTAGATGCATCTATTGTGATTAAGATACTATGTGGTTTTCGAAAATATATTTAGCGAATTCTCGTATACAGGGTGTTTTATAAGAGTGTGAAAATTTGGTCAAGAATCTTTTTACCGCAAATTTACAATTTTTAAAAAATCGAAATTTTTACCAAGTACGACTAATCTGTATTGAAATTACAAAAAAACAATTTGATTGTTTTTTTTTTGTTTTAAAGAAAATACGATGTTTTTTCGAAAAATATGCATTTTTAGTCATACAATGGTTCTAAATGGTACAAAAAGCTTTTTACATTCTGCACATGCCAAAAAATTATTAATATAGAGTGTATCTAAAAGCAGATAACTAACACAAGTTGAAAAAAAATCTTTAACATCAGAATAATATTTAATATTTTTATTGATAAAATAAGTAGATAAATTATAATAAAATTTAAGTTTATTTAATATTAAATATATTTTTTGAACACCCTGAATACATCGGTCCAAATTTCTGTACAGCTAGAAGATACACGCTATATCAGTATATTGTGGGCCTATGCAAAATGTACAATGCCTTTTGTACAAGTTAGGACGACATAGCATCTTATTATTTAGGACTATAAATGCATATTTTTCGAAAAAAAAACTCGTATTTATCTTAAAACAAAAAATTAAAAAAAAACACCAAATTGTTTTTTCTAATTTCAATACAGATTAGTCGTACATAGTTAAAATTTCGATATTTCAAAAATTGTAAATTTTCGGTAAAAAAAATTCTTAACCAAATATGTACACTATTATAAAACACCCTGTATACGAGAATTCGCTAAATATATTTTCGAAAACCACATAGCATCTTAATCACAATAGATGCGTCTAAAACCTGGTGCAAACCGCATCCCAAAATCAAAGAGGGAAAAGAAGAGCATTTATTGTTTACAATCCCGCAATTTTGCGGATCCGCGGGATTGATTGCTTTAATCCCGCGGGTTTGCGGGATTGAGCTTTTGGTGCGGGATTGCATTCCCTAACTGGTACACAGGTACAGTCTAAAATTTATTATATTGATTTTCTTAGCCGCGTATGGCACATAATTGTGGCAACGCTGCCGTTACCACTTTTCCTGACGCTAGCTCGTGTGTCACGGCCTTGAATTTTGACTCCCGTGACGCGCGCAAAGAAGTTTCGCTTCAAACAAATCGTTTTTAGAATCAGGTTTCTAATGCCTCTTTTTGGAACAAACCAAAATATATTATACATATACTTGTCGGATTTGTACTTAACATTTATATTCAATATTTTGTATTTGTATCAAAGTCATATTGTAGCGTTGTACACTATTGTAATCGGTATTACAGATTTAAGAATATTGTAGTGTCAAAATTTTTATTTCATACAACGTTGCTCTCTGTTACTACTTACTTTCCTTGTCAAATTTTAAAGTTTCTTTGCGAAAATATCATGACATATGATCGAAAAAAAAACGGTGTCACAGTAACCTTTGAAATTCAATTTTAATTTCAACAATTAAATATCAATTTTTGTCAATTTTTTGTGTCATTTTGTAATCAATGACATATAGAAGCTTGATCTAACTGAAATTATCATCGATTTTTATTTCAAAGACTACCGTGACAGCGTTTTCGATGATCGAAAAAAAAACAGCGTCTAGTTGGTTTTTGTAAACGATGATGGATAATATTCCCCGTATAATTTTACATATAAAATGATAGCTGACGCCGGTTTTTTTCTGATTTTCTGATTTAAGTGAAAACTCATATTCACTGACTAGCGAATGAATATATGACAGCGAGAGTTGACAGAATTTTTCTTAGTGTCATTTTTTGGATATCGTTTGTCAAATTCTTTTACTAGACAGACTATACATATATCGAACAAACAACTGTATTTAGTATAGAAACAATATTACTTGAATTTTGTGATTTTTTCTCGAATTGTCGCATGCGAGTCATGCTTGTTTTTTTGGTAAATTTAATTGGTATATATTCAGGTTATGTCAAAGGTTTTTATTTTTATTTTTTTATGCGGGCTACCTCGCAGACTATATTTTTTTTCTTTTTCATTATTTTTATGCTATAGGTGATTGATATTAAGCTTTAAGTAACCCCCAAATGTGATATAATTTTTACATTTCCTCTTGTATACATATCTCGAATAAACTCAAATATATTGTGGTGGTTTTATTTTTAAATAATGCCAGTTACTAATTTTTTGATCGTTTTTGTTGTTACTCCCCGATGTTAAAAACATAATTGTAATATAAATACTCGATTATGAACTATTTAATTCTATATAACTTTATATTTAATAAAATATTTAACAAACAGTATAGTCCTTGTTTAATTTAATCTATGTTTAATTTCTTTATAATATACAGGGTCCGGCAATAGTGGGTCAGACATCTGTAACTCCTATAATAAACAACTTTAGAATTAGAAAAAAAACTTTATACATTTGGTATACAGTGTGTCCACGAAATAAGTTGACACGAAGATGAAAAAATAAGTTACTTTTATTTTAAGAGAAAAAGTCAAATAATCACCCGGTATATGATCCGGCGGCAATTCGCGGCAGCCAGTGGCCATTAATGAAATTTATATGCAATATACTTTAAGCGACAAGTTAAGAGGATTTGAAAGGGAAAGTAGTTAAAAGTCTTACAGAGTGACAAGCAAAAATGTAAAAATACTATTTTTGTTGCCTTATATGTCAAATAAATTGCCATAAACTAATATTACTTAGGTTTAATTAAGTGCAAAAAAGAAAAAACAGTTCTTTTTACCTTCTTTTCGAACGTCCATTACAGAAAAAGGAACAGCTTTTATCAATTTTAATAAAATAAGTAATTAATTGGCGTTATCTGAAAAATATTTATGTCAGCTTGATACCAGTAGCAAAAATGTTGTGCATATTTAGCCGAGCTATAAGGCCGTCGACGAGCCGTCGATCCAAAACCGAAAGTTCAAAATTTCTAATTATATTCTGATTATGATATTGTCGCGCCATCTAGTATTCTATTTGTGCAATTTTAGCTCTTTCATTTCGAGTATTTTTCTGTTGCGTAGCTAGATATTCTGTGGTATTAGCCACAGTTTCATGCAAACATTTTGAAATTAATATTTCTAAGTAATGATCTATCTGGGAACCACTGTGGACCCTGTATATTGGATTTGATTTTTGTGATCCATTGAAAATTTCAATGCAAAAAATTCATTAAAATTAAAAAAGGGGACTCGTAGTTGATATAATTATGCATAAAACATTCAGTAATGTTTTTTAGTGTATTGGGGGTAGATTTTTGTAATTTCTTGAAAGAAAACATACAGTTCTTCCTCATAAAATACCCCATCCATTGAAAATCTCGCGGAAGTGAATTTAAATTAAAGAAATGCGAATCACATTTAAATAAATTATGCTTCAAAAATCTCTCCGAAACCGCTGATTTAACTGCGATTTAAAGCAGCGAAGCTTTTGCGGCTGAAAACTGATTTGCCTCGCGCCTGCGCACACAGCGGAAAACTTTTCGCGCCTTGCTGGTTCGGAATTCAGTACGAATTTGGCGCTTGCACGTCAAAGTTTCACTGCGTCTCGTGTGGAAACTCGCGGAAAAAGTTTACCTTTAGCGCGTCTAAGCGGAAAATGAACGCGAAGGAAAATTTTCCAAATTTTTCGGGGCTGAAAAAGTTGGGATCAATTTAATAAGTATTTTTTTGTCACTGTTTGAATTTAGTAACTCTTGTTCTGAAGTGTTATTTTTTCAATATGTGTAAGTATTGTAAAAGAATAGTTTGTAGAGTTATTTGTTGAAAAAAAAATGATAAAAAGTAGACAAAAGCAAGGGAATGTGTGTATGTAATAAGAGCAAATATTTTCAAGGCTGGTAGATCTCGATAAAATAAACATATTTTCTCTTTTTTTAACATATTTTATCCAAAATAACCAAGCTATTTTACTTTGAAGATTTCCAGTTAAATTTTGAGAACCACTGTTCAATAAATACATAGTAAAATACAATACTCTGTGTCGCATGTGGTAAATTATGGTGGCATGTTTGTTAGAAAAAAATTGGCAAATAATTTCAATAAAATAAATTCTATATGAACAAATTTCGAAGCTTTTGGATTATATCAAACTCCATTGTAATAAATTCCGATTATATCTGCTGCGCATACCGCCAAATACAATTGCTATCATGAACAAATTAATTATTAGCAATTAGCAATGCCGTGGCATTCTGGATGTTTAGTCAATTAAACAACACTAACTGCACAGAGTAAATTGTTTAGAGCTAGCCGCCTGTTATTATTGTAAAATGGTTAAATTTCCTACCAATTTGCTAATGATTTTATCTCTATTTCAGTGGAAGTTTCTGCTTTAGATTCGCGGAACTCAATAATTGCAAGTTGATGCTGGCGGATTTCAAAATGAAAACTTTATTTTTAAAATTTTTTTTAGTTGAATAACAAAGTTATTTTCAACTTATTAAAAAAACGGTAAACAGAAAATATATTTCTTTTTCCCAGATCCCTACCACCTCTTAAAACAGTTGTACTTATTTATGAGACACCCTGTACATCAAAAATCAAAGGAAAAATCAAATTTTGAAAGCTTCGTTCAGAATCTCGAAATTAGTGGAAGAAATTAGTGGCTTTCAATTAGCGTAGAAATGTGTTTCTCTAATTTCAATGTAAGCATTCTGAACCAGTTAAAATTAGTGGTAGACATTTCAATCGGTAGAAAAAGTTATCAAACTTTTAAGTTAAAAAACCTTTAGGTCTTATTCAGAACCTCGAAATTAATAGAATAAATTAGTGGTTTCATTTAGCGTAGAAGTTTGTTCCTCTAATTTGAATGTAACCATTCAGAACATCAAAATTAGTGGTAGGAATTTTCAATTAGTGGAAAAAGTTAACAAACTTTCAACTTTTTCACCATAGATAAAAGAAAATAATCTTCTACTAAGATTTTTCACTAATAATTATACTTCAAAATTTGCGAGGAATGTCATTTTGGTCTTTGATTATCATCTGTCAAGAAAAAAATGTGGTTAGAAATTAAAGTTTATTGTTTTATAAGCGAAATATAGTCTGTCCTTGGTCTGTCCAACGAGAAGATCCTTGACAGTGATAGATGTGTCTGTTATTTTAATTTCAAAGTAGTTTATTTTATTTTACAAAGAAATAAGTTGGTACAACTGGAACGCATAGCAGGAAATTAATATATGTATTTAAAATTTGACTGACAAGTAACTTCAAAATATTGTGAAAAAAACTGTATAAAACTGAAAAAATGTAATCGAGTTATTTTATTTAATAAAAAACGGTATGTGTTAATACAAAACAAACAAAAACAAGACACCACATACCAAAAAAAAATATAAAAAGAACTATTTCTTACTTTCAAGCTTTATGAAACTTCCCGCATTTATGATTATATTTATCAATATAACTTATGTACAAATACAAATTTGTAATATTCCGCAGGAATAAATAAAACAACATAAATAAAACAAACTATTTTATTAATAATAACACTTACCAAATTTTATACCTCACAGGTTGATTAACTTTAATCTTAACCAGTACCTTTTGACATTATTTTTCTGCAGTACTAAAATCCATTATTTACCTATCGTGTGATGTCGATATTTTACAGCTACTCCAGTTTTTAGTATGTGTTTAGTATGGTCCTTCTACCATATTCGAGATGCACTTATCTACGACGAGATGGTATACGAACTTTATTGATAGTAACTTTATTGGTGTATCTGTATAATACTTTCTGCCTGGGCAGCGAGTATTAACCATAAACTGTGCTCTGGGTTCTACAGTTAATTTTCACTCAATTTTTCCTCCACTTGACTTCAAAAGACACAAAACACACGTAATAACACGAATCAAAATGCATCATCTTCCAAAACGCAGGGTATTTGACAAAAGTTGTCACAAAATTATAACCTATAATTTGGCAAGACTTTGACAAACGTCAAAAATCTAAAGGCGGGTTCATACGCATCGGCGTCCGTTTGTCGTTCATCGTTCCGTCAAACCAATAAAATTGAAATACGATCTGTCATTTTTGAAATAAACCAATAAAACGGGTTAAAAACAACAAGTGACGACGCATGACGAATTTATATTTAAACCTATCCATCGTTAACTTAAAAATTATTAGAAACTTTTTTTAGTAAAATAAATAGATTGGTATGGGACGTCATCTGCTTTTCTTCTGTCATCGTCTGTCGAAATCTTACCTGAGAAATAAAACAAAGTATCAACCTTAACAGAGTATATTAAGATTTCTCTATAGATTCAACTGATTACCGCAAGCTGTTGCTAGAGTATTCTATTAATTTTAATTGAGTTTTTTAGACATTATAAATGATAAGTGTAATTGAAATCACTAATTGCGAGAAACCACGTTTATGTACCTTACCGGTTGTGATTCTAATTGGTTTAAAAAGAAACTTCAAAAACTAGCTTTAAAGTTCTTTAAATTCCCAAAAAGAGTTTATCCAAATTTGTTAAATTTATATAAGCTCGTATGTGACGCTGGGCTAGCACGAGTAAAACGGAAGTAATTTTATTGGTAGAACTCGATTTAGCCTTTACGGATTTTCCGAATTTGTCATTCGACCGGAAGTTTCGACTCTTTGAACTGCTCAAGATGGCGCTTGCAATCGTTCAAATGCAGGACCGTATTAGGTACGATCAAAATCGAAAGAATTAAATTAAGTTTGAGCTGATTATGATTATCTTTGAAAAATTTAATCTATTATTTGAATAAAAAGCAATTTTCATGATACCATGATAAACAATTTTGAGTCATAGAAAAGAATTGAATGCATGACAGGTAGTTAATTTTAATACTTATTATTTTTGAGCTTGTATTCTTTTGCAGTACATAATTAACTCATTTTAAGTATGTTCGGTAAATTTCTGATATTTTCCTAACATTTTTTTTCTATTGAGTTGAAGATTTGAGTTAAGTTTTATTTACCCATTAGTAGATATAATAAGCATTTTTGGTAAACTCTGTTTCAAATAGTTTCTGAAAAATAAAATTAATTTTCTTAAAAAGGTCCGATTAAATTTATATGTCCGAAACTAAAGTTCCAAGAAAAGTCGTAATATATCTACAAATTCATTTACCCACTAGTAGATATAAAAAGCATTTTTGGTAAACTCTGTATCAAATAGTTTCTGAAAAATAAAATTAATTTTCTTAAAAAGGTCCGATTAAATTTATATCTCCGAAACTAAAGTTTCAAGAAAAGTCGTAATATATCTACAAATTCATTTACCCACTAGTAGATATAAAAAGCATTTTTGATAAACTCTGTCTCAAATAGTTTCTGAAAAATAAAATTAATTTTCTTAAAAAGGTCCGATTAAATTTATATCTCCGAAACTAAAGTTCCAAGAAAAGTCGTAATATATCCACAAATTCATTTACCCACTAGTAGATATAAAAAGCGTTTTTGGTAAACTATGTCTCAAATAGTTTCTGAAAAATAAAATTAATTTTCTTAAAAAGGTCCGATTAAATTTATATCTCCGAAACTACTATCTTAAAAATATTAAGTAATAATAAAAGATGGTATAAAAGCTTGTTATTCCTCATCCCAATTGTTCCTAGGGGATATTTGAAGAAAACACTGGATCTAGTTCTAACGTACGAAGAAGACATTTTGCTTGTTGGTTTTGGGTAGTTGTGTTTTCTACACTAAAGTTACACTATGGAGTGTAGAGATAAGGAGAAATATCTTCGTGCATTAAAAAATGGTGATAAAAAAGGGAAGACTTAAGACGACGCTGATGTAGCTAAAACCAAAAATTTAAAATATGTGCCGAAAATTTTTAGAACCGGAATTGATTCAGAAGAGATAAATATTTGACGTGACGGCGCGGGTTTCAAAAAAATACAAATTTTATTTTCATGTCACATGAAATAAATTATCGATTTTTATTCAGCAGCAAGAGACTGGGCCTCTAATATATAAAAATAATTGTTTTACATTCAAAAAAAAATATAAAAACAAAACTTTTTTGAATAATGTTTGGTTATGTTACTTTTATTCGCTTATGCGATTATACTTTATAGATTTATGCGTCATTAGCGCCACTGTGGTCATATTCTACCTATTTTTGTGACCAATTTTTCAAATAAAGTCCCATAAGAGATATATCTCCTCATCTCTACACTCCATAGGCTACAGTAAGGTCTATTTATAATATTTTTCTGAGTAAACATTATTCTAGAGATCGATAGCATCGTCCATTCCTAATAAAATCTACGGCAGTTTGCTCTACGGCGAACACATCGCGCATTCATATGATAATTAGAATTTTAAGTTATCCAGTTCGAGTTTAATGACTATGGAGACTGTGGGATCCTGAGGAAGGGGAAACAAGCACTTAATGGTATTTCCTTCGCCCTGGCAGACATGTCTCCCTACGATTATACATCTAGTCGTTTCCTCACCGTTCTATTGTTCTTGGCTATGAGCTCGTGGCGGATTGTCTAGATATAGACAGTCATAGATAGAGATGTGCATATATAAAAATACATCGATATTTTAGATTTTTTACGCTGTTTCCGATACGCTTCAGTCCGTCCGCATAAAACAGTATGGAAGGAAAGGATATGGAACGGAACGGAAACGGAACGGATAGTGTGCATTGTCCTATTCATTTACATGATAAAATATTTTATGTAAACGGAAGGTAGCTGATACGGAAAGTATAGTGAGAAGCACTGTAAAAA